GTAATCTTACGGAGGCTGTGGCCTAGATTTGGGGCAAGTGAGATTTTATATTTTGAAAAAGCCTCCTCCTCCCCCATCTTTGTTCCTTCAGTCTCAGGTGAATGTGAGCTGTATTTTATTTACCTCTTGGGGTGTTTATATTTCAAGGACATGGTAAAAGTTACATCTTCTAGGGACAAAGAAGGAATGCAAGTTTTCTTCTAGGAGTTTTAGGGTATATTTGTCTATTATCAGAAGTCTATTGCTATTTAAATTTTTCCTTCATTCTCTTCAAAGCAGGAGAGTTCTGTTTCCAAAGTTCTGATCTTTTACAATATCTGCAGGCATTCTGAGATGAATTAGGGAGTTTTGGGGCATGGTAATGTTAGGTAGACTTTGGATTGTTTCTAGAGCTGTATTTCTGGTTTTACAAAGATTTGTAAGATAAGGACAGTTGCTCTTAATTCCGCAAACAATTGGGATGTAGCCTTAATGATATCAAGGGGCTGAACCTCCCATCTAAATACATTATCTTCAGTTTGCTTCTTTATATCGGGGGAAGGTCTTCTACCAAGATGAAAACCAAAAGATTCTTGTGTTCTAGATTTAGAGGTGCCGGGTCTTTGGTATATTTTAGTACATCCTTCCACAAAAGACTTCAGAATGTTTTTCTCTTCCTCTGGGTACATAGTTTCATTTTAGCTTAGGTGAGAAGGCCTAAAATCATATTCCTGTCATCTCTGAATATCAGCTTCTAATTTGGCCAACTTCTGAGCCTAGAGCTACTTAAAAAAATCCTTTCAAATATCTTGTCAGGTTTCAGATGACAGAAACAGTTAATATTCCTGGCATTATTGTACAAGCCCTTGGATGCAAGAGGCATCCCCAAAGAGGGTGCAAAAGATACTACCTGCCCAAGAGAACTCCCCTAGCCACTCCCAAAGATAACCAAAAGAAAGAAGGACTTAGACAATTCTCCTGAGAGCTGGCCATAGTTGATAGGACCCTAGCCGCAACACACATCTCTGTCTGGCCAAATTTTGGGGGACCCCAACCTGACACAAAACCAGATAAATAAGAAGGCAGTAGCTATCCCCGGAAGAGAAAGTTTCAACAACCAATGGGTACCCAAAAGTAAATTCGCAAGTCACGATTCAAAGACCTAATTGCTACAAATGTTTTTGCCTGCCAATCTGAATTTGGAAAGGAAAGGACAACATGAAATTTGACCTTCCTCTCTCAACCAGGCTCTGCAGATAGAGATCTGGGAGAGCTGACTTTGGCAAGAATTCTCACCCTTTGCCGGCTTTTGCCAGTTTTCCCAGGATCCCATCTGCATGCTCTGGAGCGAGCGGGGTGTCCTAGCAGGTCCTATCCTGGTCACCAGAAGCAGTAGAGCAGGAAAAATAATTTTCCCTCTACTTTTTATGTTGAGTGCTTGGCTGAGACCCCTTTTTCTCTAAGATACCTCATAAATGGACAAGCTTATCTAGGTTAAAAGGTCTCCACTGTGGCCACTGTATTTCAAGATTATTTTTGCTGGGTTAACCTGTTTGTTCAACCTTAAAACAAAATTTTATTCACCCAGGGCCTCATGCTGGACCCAGTCCAGCTTAAATTGGATCCAGTCTGACCCTGGACTCAGATCTGGCAGATAGGTTTCTTAGGACTTCTTAAATCTATAGGTCCCCTCACCACCTTTTTTTCTTGAAATATATTTATTAAAGACACTGGGTATTTGTCCTTCACAGTTCTGGATTTGGCTGATCATGTCCCTATAGTATCACTGAACATGTTCTTCTGTCCCCTGTATTTCCTGTAAACTGGTAGTTAGATCTGGAGACTTGCTTGGGTTCGGGTCATCAGTTCATATTTATGCTGACTCTTTGTTTCAGTAATTGGACCACCGTAACACATAATGCTGTGATCCTTCAGGAGGCTCATCAATGGAACTGACACACCTTCAGGCACTATTTCTAAAACAACTGGTATTCAGGCCTTATTCTGTCTGAACCTCCCCACCCCATTTTCCGGAGGAAGTCAGGAAAGGAGAGGACTAACACACACCAGGCAGTGTATAAGCTTTGCAGCTACAGCCGTGACCAAGGTGGATATGGTCCCAGCTTTTGAAGGGACAAACTGCCTCGTGGGGAAAGTAGTGAGAGCCAGCAGATGAGTCAGTAAAGTCATTCCACATTGTGGTCTGCACTTGCAAGGAAACAAACAGGAAGCGGGGACAGAAATTGGGGGCTCCGGGAGTGAGAGAAGGGAGAAGGAGGGGTGAGCAGGAGCAGGCTGTCTTAGAGGCTGTACTTCACTGAGCCCGGAGGTGAGAGCGAGCCAGTCACGTGAATGCGTGAGGCGGGGGAGAGGGTGCTGCTGGTCGTCGGGATGGAGAGAGTGCCAGGGACCTCGGAGATGGGATGCACGGGACATGGAGTGAGAAAGGGGAAGGAATCAAGGCTAACTCCCCAGTTTCCTGGCTTAAGCAACTGGTGCCAATGGCATGAATCTTTCAGGGGTCCCCACTCTGGTCCCCTTGGAGGTTATGGTACCTGAGTCCGTCCTCCTGGCCTCCTAAGTACTTTATAGGTCCTTCCCCTCATGCTCTCTGTGCTTCCATTGGCTTGCTCAACTCTAAGAAGATGGAGGAAAGGAACAAGACGATGGGAGCATCCCATGCTTGACAGATTTGTGCAGTGGGACTGGCACCCAAATGTAAGGGAACATTGTCCAAGTTAGTCATGAATTGGTATATCTCAAACAGGCAAACACTGACCGGGGAGAAGTTTACAGCTAAGGGTCAAGTGAAACTTTTGGATGTTCTCTCTATGACATCTGTCTCTGATGTCATTTTTCATTATCACCAACAGCTGAGTTGCATGTGCCCTAGAAAAAGGGCTCAAAAATAATTTTCCAGTACTGATACTAATGAGGGTCATGTGGTCTGTGTCCAAAGCATTTGCAATGCTTCTCGATACTTGTCTAAAAACTCGATTCCCAATGCATTCCTTGTGATAAGAGACACAGTCTTGTGCCCAGATTCTAAATACTAAAAGACACCGGGAGTGTTTTCAGAACTGTTGGACTGACTTAAATCTCACTGGAAAACAGTTTTTTAAAACTGAGTTTTCCGCGTGTGGCCTCCGTGTGATCGCTTCCCCGCAGCGGCTGGTAACTGCCAGCTTCTGGTGGCTTGGGAAAATGAGCCGTTTCCCACGCCCCCACACATCAGCCCCACTGGGATGTCCATGCGGGGAGATGTGTGACTGGGCCGGCAGGACGAGAGGGTGAGGAACGAGCTGGCCAACCTCTTTCCCTGACTCCCTTCCCCGCAGCCTGCCGGCACGCTCCAGACAATCACCCCTGGGACCAGGTGGTGCTGGAAATTATTTATGCCCCTAAACAGTTCACCGCCCAGGAAGACTGGTAAAAAGGGAGGGTTTTTGCTAAGTCCACACGTAACTCCCAGAACTCTCGTTCCTTTCCCGTCCCTGGGCCCAGATGCACTCCGCCCCTTTGAACCTTTTCACCCAGTTCTTGTCCTGTTACAGGGTTTGCTTTTAAGTTTCTCTTCTTTGTGTCCGGCCAACCCCCTCCTCTAGTAATGAGGTCTGAAGGGAGTGGAGGAGAAGGCTGTGTGGGAGGAGGAGGGAGGGAAATAAGGGACTTGGAAAACCCACAGGCCTTCCAATCAACTTCTGAACAGGAAAGAGTCCCTTTTTTGCATTCATGTTCTTCAGATGCATCGCCTCTTAAAAGTGCAGACTAAAGGGCCATTCGCAAAGTCTCTCCCATTTGATTAGGGCTTTTTTTTTTTTTTTTAATTCAGATTCTCCAAGTAAAAAGAGCACTAAAGTGGTGTTCTATGTCATCAGTGGATTGTGTACTAACAAGAAGGGGGGGGTGGTCAAAGTCTCATTCTTAGCATGGCTTTGCAGGAGACCCAGGTACCCCCAGCACCGAGTACCCTCCAACAATCAAGGGGCTCTTTGTCCCCTTCCCTTTTTCCCAAGCAGTGTGGGGGTTAGCTGGATAAGAACACCAATCTCTTTTTTGTAGGCAGTTAGAACTGATTTCAAGTAAAGCTGTGCATAGTGATTAAGAGGGCCAACTTTGGAGTCCAGCTCCCTGAGTTCGAATCCAGGGATTGGTTGCTGACATTTACTGGTAACTTTGGACAAATTTAACCTTTCTTACTTCCTCCATCAGAAAAATGTGGTTAATAGTCGTATCTAGTCTTATGGAGTTCTGAGGATTAAATGTTAAGAAGAGGCCTGGAACACGGTGTTAGCTATTATTCTGACACATTAAACTATTCACAATAGTAAATGATATCATAATGCCCCCATTCAGATTTACTTCTTTTTTAAAAGAGATGCACTTTTAATTTATTTTACTTATTATTTTTTTTAAGTAAGATCTACGCCCAAAGTGGGGCTTGAACTCATGACCCCAAGATCAAGAGTCCCATGCTCTACTGACTGAGACAGCCAGGGTCCCCAAAGTGACTTCTTGACCCATATCCTCATTGTATCATCATTTGTGTGTGTCAGTCCTTCCCCATATCCTTCTGGATTATGGGTTCCTGGAAGGGAGAGACTGTGTACTATCCATTTTGGGACCCAAAGCACTTAGCACAGCTCTGGTATATAACGATTACTCAGTTTGTTGGGTAAATTAGTGATGGCTTTAATAATGGCTTAGGTTTGAGTGGTGCTTTGCACGATGCAAAGCACGCACACATGGGAAGCCCAAGACTCTAAGTTCAAGACACGGATCCAAGGTCCAGTGATGGATATGTGCCAGAGTCAGGTCCTGTGATTCTTGCTCCCTCCACCGGGCCATCCTGCCTAGGAGAGGAGTGCTGAATTTTAAAACTCAGGATCATGTCCTTCTCCAATTCTGTTGTAGTTGACAGACTGGGGGTACCTGTGACAGCATTCTGTGCGTGGAAACTCAGAGTCCCTGAGGAAGATGTTTTTCCAGCTCTCCTCCTAACTATGCTTTGTTTTGTACAGGTCACCACAAATGGTATTATTGCCATGAGTGAACCCCCAGCCAAAGAATCCCATCCGGGGTACTTCCCACCGACCTTTGGAGTAGTTGCACCTTTTCTGGCAGACTTGGACACGACAGATGGCCTTGGGAAGGTTTATTATCGGGAAGACTTATCCCCCTCCATCACTCAGCTAGCCGGAGAGTGTGTCCAGAGAGGGTTCCCAGAAGTCTCTTTCCAGCCCAGTAGCGCGGTGGTTGTCACTTGGGAATCCGTGGCCCCCTACCAGGGGCCCAGCAAGGACCCTGACCAGGAAGGCAAGGTAAGCGCTCTCCCAGGTACAAGGGAAAATAGTCAACAGGTTGGTTTTGTACACTTTGGTCTTCCTTGAAGGAAGGGAGACACTTGGGTAGGTCAAGAAGCCATCTCTAGGTCTAAAGTAACTTTTTGGGACACGCCTCTGTTTCTCCTTAGAAAAAAATAATTTTGCTCCACCACTATTTAACTTTTATAGTATTACAGAGTAGAGAGAAACTGGAAAGGGCCAAAAGCACCCCAATTAAACAGGGGAGGTTCCAGGTTGGTAGTTCCCAAAGTAGGTACCACAGAACACCAGTCCTACAAGATAGTCCTTGAGAAAAAGGCCTCCCCTGGTCAGGTAAGTTTGGGAAATGCAAAACTTTATCTCCCCCTTGGTGACTCACTCTGAAAAACCCTGCAATAAACCTGCTTAATTTTTAAAGAAAATTTAGCAGTCCCCAAACCTTTCGGCCATATTCTTTTTTCCCTCCCAAACAAGATACATTATATCCCGCAGAACACCCTTTGGGAAGGCCTGTTACGGGCCTGCAGGAAACATTTTGCTTTTTGTATCTGTCAGAGTGCTCTACTTGAAAACTGCTTAAAACCTTACATTTCTCAAGTGTGTGCACTACCACTTGAGTGGTGAATGCCCAGCCCCTTGTACAGAGCCCTTGCCCTGTCTTGGGCCTAATCTCCGCACACCCTTTGCCACAGCTGTATCAAATTGTTTACAATTCTCTGATCATGACCCGTGCCCCCGCCCTGGGATCTAGCATTTGCTGTCCTCTCTGCTTGCAGCGTCTTCTCCCTGACCCCTGCCACTGGTGTTGAACCCGTACTTGATCCTCTAGACTCCCACAGCCTCCTCTCCTCCCACCTTCCCACCTTCGGGCGCTGCTTTCTGTGGCTTCTCTCGTGCTTGCACATGACTCCATGATAGACTCTATCCCCCCATTTTGCGATGTTTTCTTCACATGTCAGTTTTCCCATCTAGACCAGAAATTCTCGAGCGTGGGGACCATGTATTTATAGGAAAGGTACCAACGTTGAAGGAATACTTTCTCTGTGCCTGGCTCTGCCTATTTCACATAGGTCTCCCAACATTTCTGTGAAGTATGTGGTTTTCTCTCCATCTGGCAGATTCAGAAATCCACGCTTAAGGAACTTAAGTAACACACGCAAGGTCACACAACCCATGATGAGGAGAGCAAAGATCTGGATTCAGATCTGTTTTCTCCCAAAGCTCATGTGTTTTCTTTTGTTTGTTTTTTTTCTTATTGTATGTTGCTTGGGCTCAATAAATGTATGACAAATGATGAGTGTGTTTAATATGTTTAATGGCCGTGGAAACAAATTCTAAGGGTAAAAATTTCCTAAGTGGCATGAGATTTAGGCCACTGTCCAGAGGTACCATCTCCATAATTTTTGGCTACCCTTCATGCAGATGATTCATTAATTAATTGGAAAATTTCACGTTGACAAAGCCTTAGAGATACTTAAGTGGAGCCATCCTGGAATACTTGGTTCTTGCTACTCTTTTAGACTAAAGGGCGAATACTGCCACCTCTGGGCTTTCTCTGTGTAGTCTGGTGAATACAACAATTTAAGATCTATCGATATATTCCTGAGTAACTGAATCTCAACTCATCTTCACAGAGAAACACATTCCAGGCTGTTCTGGCCTCCTCTGATTCCAGCTCCTTTGCCATTTTCCTCTATCCTGAAGACGGTCTGCAGTTCTATACAACATTCTCAAAGAAGGACGAGAACCAAGTTCCCGCTGTGGTTGCATTCAGTCAAGGTGTACAGGGATTATTCTGGAAGAGTGAAGGAGCTTATAATATATTTGCTAACGACAGAGAATCAATTGGAAATTTGGCCAAGTATGCTTTCTTTGTTCTTCAGTAGGTTCTCCCCTTAATGATCATTTTATCATTAAGATGATCGTTTTATTATTTTATAAAGGATAATATAATGGACACTAGAGAACATTACCTAAAAATGTTCCCACAGATTTAAATTTCGTATATGGTTTTTTTTATATTATGTAGTGCTTTTTTCCTGATGAACTCAAAGTAATACACCCTTAGAATGAAAAGGCATCCTGTTTTTAGATGATATGCTCATTTGAAACAGTTTCTCCAATGTCCTCTGCAAGTATACAGTTAAGAAATAAACGCTATTCAAACCCTATCTCCTGCTATAAACTCAAGGCTGAGAAAAACCTTCTCCCCCCACGTGGACTAGGGAAGAAATTCTTACAACAAAATTAGTGCTCTCTTGGGCTATTTTGTAGAATTTGGCAAAAGCGGGGAATTCTACTTTTTTCTAAAAGTAGAATCGTTCCTCTCCCGTTATGCCTTAAAAAGTGAAGAAAGAACTCCCTCCCTCCCAATTTCAGATTGTCCAATTGAGTCTAAAACTCAACTGATAACCCTAATTTACCGTGCTTGCCTGTTTCCGTGGTGTGAATACTCCTTTCGTGGCCATGTTCCAGCTATGCGTGTCGTGTTGCTCAATATGGAATTGAGAAGAGGACCATTCTTCACACCATACAGATGCAGTAGACTTAAATCACTTCCAGAACATAGATAATAGTAAAATAATTCAGCGTGCTGAGTTTCAAGTATTTATGGCTTTTGTTTTTAATACCATTTATGTAATTGTAAGTTTATGTGATATAATTTTTTACAGTGGCTCTGTTTAATAACTGGCTTGCAAAATTATTAAAATTTAACACCTGGCTCTCATGAGCTGGTGCTAGCAAGCCCCTGCACACCACTACCTTTCCTGGAGTCCTGGGACAGACAAATTAAGTACACACCCTCTTTCTGCAGGGCTTTCTTGATTCCTCATGCCCTCTCCCACCCCTGATGTTTTGCTCCGGATTCTCCACTTTGTAATGTCTGTTTCTTCTTCCCCGTGTAAAAGCTGGTCATTTTACATAGTTTCTGATAGGAGCGCTTCCAAACACAGATGCAGAAGCACATTAAACATGGTGGAGAAGGAAGGAGAGATCAGGGTCATTTGACTGTGTTTTTTAGTTACACGAGGCCTTTAGAGTCTGAATCTCTCCTTTGCATTCTACTATACCCTTGGGACAGGAAAAGGTAAACTGAGACCTGTCCAAGATTCCACAGCTGATAGAGTGGCATTTCTGATAATCCAAGTCTGTACGGTTTTCACTCGCAACACCTCTGACACCACATAGGTGGGATTTTTTTCCTTCTACCTACCGATTCTCTCACTCTCTGGACATCCCTTCGGTGTCCTACAATTCAGTTGGGTCCTGGTGCGGACAGCCCAGGGTGAGCACAGACCCCACAAGACTGCCCCCACTTCAGATGCCAGCCCTAAGTTCTAGGTACTGTACTGCACCTCTGGCCTGCCAGCTATAAATTGGGGGTTTCTGGGACCCCCCCACTCAGGTTCCGTAATTTTGCTGACATGGCTCACAGAACTCAGGAAAGCACTTTTCTTATCATCACTAGTCTATTTTAAAGGCTACAACTCAAGAACAAATAGAAGGAATGCATATGACAAGGTATTGAAGGGAGAGGGGGCTTGAAGCTTCCATGCCAGCTCACCAACCCCAAAGCTCTCCCAGCCTCATTGTTTGGGCGTTTTTATTACATAAACATGATTGATGAACTCCTTGGCCCTTGGTGAATAACTCAGTCTCCAGCCCCTCTCCCCTTTCTGGAAGTCAGGGCGTGGGGCTGAAAGTTCCAACCCTCTAATCATGCCCAGGTCTTTCTGCCATCCAGCCCCCATCCTGAAGCTCGCTAGGGTCCCAGCCACCATTCTGCCCATTAACATAGAAGAGTCAGTCTTATCATGGCAGAGATTACGAGGATTTTCGGAGCCATCTGCCAGAACCAGAGACCAAGACAAAGTAGGCAACAGGTTTCAGGCTGACACACAGATCCCCAGGGCTCCTTCTGCTCGGTTAGTGGGGGTGGTTTGTGGGTTGCCGGCCTGTTTCTAAGAAGCCTGTCCTTCCTCCAGGAGCAGCAACTCGGGGCAGCAGGGCGTCTGGGTGTTTGAGATAGGGAGCCCGGCCACAGCCAGTGGTGTGGTGCCCTCCGATGTGAGTCTCGGACTGGACGACGGAGCAGAGTATGATGATGAAGACTACGAGTCAGTGACACATCTGGACCTGGAGGACGCGAGCACGACACCTTTCCCCTATGAGGCTCGGAGGAGGGGAGACCCGGGCACACACAGCGTGCCCCGTGTCCTCTCCCCCCGCCGCCTGCCTACTGAGAGACTCCCCGGACCTCCCACGGAGAGGACCAGGTCTTTCCAGCCACCAGCAGAGACATTTCCCCAACAGCACGCGCAGGTCATAGATGTGGATGAAGTTGAGGAGACAGGAGTGGGTAAGGCCATTTTCATCACGGCTGGTCTGTCCTGGGACACTTGGGTTTCCAGACAGGAGTCCTGCTGGAGGGGGTCAGTTGTGTGCCCTATATGGAGGTTTGGAAGGACGAGAGCTGGGGATGTAGCGGCAGCCCTCGCAGCTGTAGGGCTTCACTGGATGGGCCTGTTGGCTTCAAAGACTCCAAGAGATCTTTGGGGATTAGGCCTGCGGTTACGGGAGGACTGCTGAGCGGGCGCTCTTTCAAGTTTCCTCTGACTCCCTTTTTGTCTGTTTTCAAGAGAAAAGTGCTTTGGAATTATTTTGAAAGTCAGATTTTCTTATTTGTGACTTCTGGGATCAGAAATATATTCACCCACCTGAAAAAACATTTTAGAAGTTTCTTTGGCTATTTACCGCTGTTTATCTTTGACGTTTATTTCCTCTTGGTTTTGGAATGAGGATGGTTGATTATTTTTTCCTCCCAGGTCCTGTCAGCTTTAGAGATGGTTTGTGAAGATTTAAAATGCAAAACAAGTAGATCCCCCAGTTTTAAAATACAATCTTTTCTAGTCAACCGTGTTCTGTTGGATTTTTGCTACATTTTGAGGGAAAAACCATTTGAGTGCCAGCGTGCTTTGATTTGTTTTATAAAAGATGTTCAAACTAAACTGAAGAACTGATTCAATTTCAGGTTGACATATAATCCGCCAACATTCACATAAATGAGATGGTCCACGCCCCTAAATGATGTTCACCGTGAGTCCTTCCTGCTTCTACTATGAAGTTATAAGGCCCCCAGAAAAACTGACTCCATTCCACATGATTCACTCAATTTTTATTTCTCCTTCTTCTGATTTGTTTCAGAGCAGTTGTTTTAAATGTTTGTTCTTTTTTGAGTATCTGAAAGCATGGACAAGATCTGGTGGCCAGGGGAAGTGTGCTTACTTACTTCTAAGGCACAGACATGGAGAAGTTACCCTTTATGTTATGAGGAGGATATGGGTGCAGGTCTCAGGGCTCCACTCCGCACCCTGGATTTCCTGGGGCAATGCTAACAGCTCTCAGCACACGGCACTCTGCTCTTAACCACTGGTTCCAGACTAATCTCCCCCAGACATATGGGGTATGTTTACTCGCAGATGTTGAGTCTGGAGTCTTTTTCTGCTTCTCCCCTATCTAGGTGTTTGTGGAATTCTCATCTGTGAGGCCATCACTTCTAAATGAGATCATAGCTAGCACCAACAACTTAGGGTGGTATAGTACTTGGTCCTGATAAAGGCCTAGATTTGAACTCCAAATGTGTCTAAAACAGATGTTTTTCTGTCCCTCTGTCCCATGGTTTTATTTCACTGTTTTAATAGAGAGAGGTCAGTTTTCTGTAGGCAGCAGTACATTCCTGGTGTTATTTGAAAAGTTACCCACAGATATGCAAGCCATAAGGGACCCCACAGGGAGCTGGACCCACAGCTGGAGCTGAAGCCATCAGTCACGTCTTGTGTGCTCAGCTCGGGGCGCAAGTGTTCCCAGTGCCAAACGCCACCTTTATACACACTGGAAATTCCCTTCTGAGTATGTAGACTAATCACATCTACCTGAGGTTAAACTTTACTTTTATCTTCCCTTGTAACACTCAGTTATAAATTGGATCATTATCCCTTCTAAAAGCCTGTCCCCCCCTCGTGCTTTTGAACTTCAGTCCAAATTAATTTGCTCTGGATTATTAAACTTAATGAGCTAGTTCATAATTCTAACAGAATGAAGCTGGGAGGTAGGAATTTGAAATAGAAATTCTTTTTGTTTCTTGAGTTAAAGACCTTTAGACCAAGTATGATGAAGGAATTATTTCTAATCAGCTTCTGAGTATAAGAGCTTCTGAGTTTTCCCCTGGGGAGGAAAAGGGGAAAGTTTTAAAGTATTTTCAGGTCATTAAAATGACAAATTATATATAAATTTTTTCTTGCCACAATAAAAGATAGTAAAAAAAAAATTAAGTCTGTCCCAAAATGGGAAGCTAATCTGACCACATTACATGGACACCATCTTAAGATGGTTATTGGGTGGCAGTAACCTAGTATTGATACAGTGATTATATGGATTCAGTGATCCGGTACATTGAATTATAGCATTTTTAAATAACTCCCTTGTGATTTCTCAGACTCCTTTTAGACCTATTTGCCTTGGTGGTTGGAGTATAGGAGCCAAGACAGGACTTCGGTTGCTATGGGCTGTGAGCGCTGTCCCAGGATCCCCCGCGCAGGTGGGAATTCCTGCAAGGCTTGCGGGCGCACAGAATAACAAAGCCTGGTCCACTGCAGGGCAAAGTGCTTACGAGTGTGCTGTGTTTTCCCCGAACAGTGTTCAGCTACAACACGGATTCCCGCCAGACCTGCGCCAACAACAGACACCAGTGCTCCGTGCATGCCGAATGCAGGGACTTCGCCACGGGGTTCTGCTGCAGCTGCGTGGCTGGTTATACGGGGGACGGCCGGCAGTGTGTTGCAGAAGGTATTCAGCTTTGGGGGCGCCTGGGGGGCTCAGTCAGTTAACAGCCCAACTCTTGGTTTCAGCTCAGGTCATGATCTCGGGGTTATTAGATCGAGCCCGTCGTCGGGTTCTGTGCTGGGTGTGGAGCCTGCTTGGGATTCTCTCTCTCCTTCTCCCTCTGCTTGCTCTCTCTCTCAGAAAAGAAAAGAAGGTATTTGGCTTTTATGTGTTCCACTTGTGCGGGGAGAAGGAGGGAGTAGAGTCTTTGTTTTGGGGTTTGTTTTGAAATGTTGGCCTTTAGCCAGATCTCTAAAGGTGGGTAGTATTTTTAGTAGATATTAGATTTTGAATGATATTTAATCTCTCATTCCCATTCTTTCTCATCCTTCTCTAAAGGGCGTTTCTCAGGGAATGCCCACTTTTGTAATATGGTGAGGTCTATTTCTTTCCTATGCTATATTTTTCTCCATCTGGGAAATGACTGCCCATGGGAAGCTCATCTTCACAACTGCCCCCAGTGTGGGACAAAGGCTGAAGTGTTGAAATAATGCAGCCTGGGCCAGGCATGATTAATGCCTCTCGTTTTCCTCCGTTTCTTTCCAACCTCCTCTGTGGCATTGCTCACCGACCTGAGTGTCCTAATGGTTGTTAAGCCCCAGCTGGGCCAGAGTGGGCAGGCGTGGACCAAAGTTTGTAGTGGGGAAAATTGTATTCCAATCACCCTTCCCCTCAGGCTGTCCTTTCTTCATGCCCCTGAAATCACAGCATGATGATGGTGGAGCATAAGGGGTGCACCAGTTCATTCTGGAGCACCAAACCCATTGTAGGGCTGACTCCAGAATGGATTCAGCTGTGGGTCCACAGCTGTTCTGAGCTTTGGCCCCAAGAGGACCAACTAGTCCTGATGCTCTCGGGTGAGCAGGAGAATCTCGGCGAAAGTCTAGAGGGTCGGGATAATGGTTTACTCAGAGAGTGAGACCTCTGGGAGCCTGGGGCCATAAACTAAGATTAAAACAAAAGCAACAAAAAACCCTACCATCCTGAACCTTTGTCCCTTCAGACGCCAAGTCACCTCACTTGCCACAGTGATCACTGGTCATTTGCCTGGTGTTGAATGAGGAACCTCAACTGCTTTGCAAAATTTGACTAAATAAAACTCAGTTGGAGGAATGGTTTCTGTTTTTCACATCCCCAGCCATAGCTGTAGTTAAATCAGTTATTTTAATTTGGTTTGCCTGGGTCACAATGAGATAAAGTGAGTTTTGCTAAATACCATCTGAAGCAATGAAAGAAAATTATGTATACTTTTCATGTTAATTTGGGGGGATGTTTTGAACTTCTGTAGATGTGTTCTGTTTTCTTTTAAATCCCACTACCCCAGGTATGATGTGCCTTTGCTTCTTTGTTTTAGGCTTGGCTTTTATACTTCTCTCACCCTGAGAGAAGCTTCCAGAATCTACAATGAAAGCTCATTCTCAAAGAGCAATCTCCTTAGCTCTTTCCATGCCAAATATCAGAGCTGGAAATGCTGAGCAGTTTGTGTTCGGTGGCAAGCTCAGCTATAACAAACTGTTCAGTTGCATATTTTGACATTATATACACGCCCCATAAAAGTTCTGTGGTTTAAATATTTGTTGGATTCTTGCTACTTTTGAAACATTTTTCTGGCTCAAGGTTTGGTGGAAAAAATTTGTTTGGTTTCCTTCGTTTGGCTTTCCTGCTTGTTTCTGCAATTGTTTGGGGGATGAATTTTTTCGATATTAGTCTTCCAACTTCATAGCACTCCCCCGTGTAATGACACAATTTGTGTGCAGAAATACTGTGTGTGTCGAGTGTGCCTTGGCTTGTCAGTGGCCCTACTTAATGTCTTGGGCATACTGAACACAGCAAAAGGTCTTCTGAACATGGGCGATGATGCTCAGGTGCGAGCCCGTCTGTCCAGTGTTACTCAACAGACTTTCCTGGGAACTTACTGTGTGCAGAAAACTGCTGAGTCCCAAGGGAAAGAGCTGGGTATGAACGTCCTGTCCCTGGTGATCTAGGAAGAGAACCAATGTATGTGCAATCGATAACTGATCAAGTTTAATTCTGCATCAAACCTGAACAGTCCAAGGTGACTTACCTCTTCCTTCAGTTTTCTTAAAGATATAATTAACACCCTTGTTTAAAGCTCAGAGTTTGGTGGGTTTTAGGCTCTTCCCTGAGTTGTGCAACCATCACCTCTATCTGGTTGTAGAACATTTTTATCAGTCCAGAAAGAAACACTGTATCCGCTAGCTGTCATTCTCAATTCCCCCAGGCCCCCGGCCCTGTCCACAACTGATCTACTTCCTCTCATTGAGGGTTGTCCTCTTCTGAAATATTTCCATTTCGTTCCATGGAATCCTAAGATATGTGACCATCTGTGTCTGACTTCTTTCACTTAGCATGGTGTTTTCAAGGTCCATCCGAATTTTGGCATGCGTCAGTACCTCGTCCTTTTTTCTAGCTACACATTCCATTGCGTGGTTATACCAAGCGATGGACATTCTGGCCATGATGAATAATGCTACTAAGAACATTTGTGTACAAGTGTTTGTGTGGACCTAGGTTTCCTGTTCTCTTGGGAATATACCTAGGAGTTGGAATTTCTGGGTCATATGGTAACCTTCAGTTTTCTTATTTGAATGCAAGAACGACTTCATTTCTTTAGATCTTACATTTTCCTGATTAAACAGGAATATATGCAAGCTATAGATATTCACAAAACATAGAGGCATATATTATAGAAAATGAAAGTTTACTGTATTGCCCTGAGTTAACCCCTGTTAGCAGTTTTGGGTATATCTCTTCCGGTATTTTCCCCCGAGATACCCACTAACATTTATTATTAATGTGTTTTTAAAACAAAAATAGTATTCTCTATATGTTATTTGGTAATTTATGGAGAGAGCCTCTAAATTTCCATAGTAGGTTTCACATCTTTCCCAGTTGTCTGAATGGAACAATCAACCACGAACACACCCCAGTCTATGCAAGCCAGTCCTGGGCCGTTGGCCATGTTTGTGTGCCGAGTGACATTGGCAGTGCCCATGTCTGTTGCAGCTTGGGCCGAATGAAGCTCCAGGACCCAGACTGACAGTCCTCACCCTCAGTGAGAGAACCATATTTGAGCCAGAGCTGCGTATGAAGATGTGTGATAGATCAGGCTGCCAACTGACCCAGATCACCAAGGACCATCCATTTTGGCCCTCTGTCCCAGCGAAATTCCTAATTCTGTCCCTTACACGCTCAGAAGTGATCAGTGATAGGATCACCTAGTTCTAGATGACCCGTGACACTGTTCTTCTCCTGAGATTATTTTATTTGGCCCTGAATTTCCTCCATCACACAATGGCTCGCGTTGGAGCTACTTCCGTGCTGTACATTATAGGTCAGCATGGGAGAGAAGCAGGACATTGGAATTTCTAAGGCTCACAGACAGTCGTGGGTATTGTCCTCTTGAGAACAACTACTTTGACTTAACCCAAAGCCCTTGACCCCAACGCTGTTCTGCCTCTTTGCTTTATGGGTACAGGTCCTACCAGGCATGTTATTCTTTTTGAAAAAGCTGGCTTCTTTTGTTTCTTGCTCAGGTTCCCCCCAGCGAGTTAATGGCAAGGTGAAAGGAACGATCTTTGTGGGGAACAGCCCGCTCCCTGTTGTCTTCGAGAACACCGACCTCCACTCGTATGTGGTGATGAACCACGGGCGCTCCTACACAGCCATCAGCACCATTCCAGAGACCGTTGGCTATTCTCTGCTTCCTCTGGCCCCTGTCGGAGGCATCATTGGATGGATGTTTGCGGTGGAACAGGACGGGTTCAAGAATGGGTTCAGCATCACAGGTAATTTACCTCAGGTACTACAATTAGTGGTGCCTGGGGAACCTGGGGGTGAATGGAAAGGGAGCTCCACGTCTGCAGGCAACTTACTGATGAGCATTTTGTGGCTCCTGAAAGATGTTGAGGTAAAATCATGACTAATTGTTTTCGTTAGTGTGTGCTCATTAAGGCTATCTAGAATTGCATTTTCATCAGGGAGTGATATCATGGTGGAGATTCAGAAGTCTCCAGCAGAGCAAATGAGGTCATCTCATACAGCCTCACCCCCCGAAGTGTGGGGTGTCCCAGTTTCCCTCATTCTGTTTCTCATGCCTGCCTCCACATTCCCAACCAGTCTGATCTGATATTTGACATTGCTTCAGTATCTGCTTGGAGAAAAGAAACCTGTCATTTCTAGCTGGAAAATCAAGCCTGATAAACACAATCCTCCCAAGTCTTAGAAAACCTGACTTTCCTTGGAGCTTCTTAGAGGCTGTGCCCTTTCAGGGACAGTTCAGTCTTTAGCAGACGCGTGGGCAGATAGTGGGGGAAACGTTTCCATAGTGTGGCCATGGCCCCTCCCACGTTCTGTTGAGCCCTGCTCCCTTGTGCGTGCTAGAGGCCCTTTCCAGGAACAGCTTGGGTGCAAGAGAGTGTGTCCTTCCTCCCCGGCCACTCCCAGGACCTGGAGCCTGTTCTGGGTCACAGGAACCCATCCTTGCCTCTGACTAGATCTGCTTTCTCCCCACTGCCTCACCTCGCTGAGTCTCAGCCACAGCTTTATTGCGGAAACACCGTGAAGCAGGGTCTCTAGGCTTTGCAAGGGTAACCCTCCAAAAGTTCCAGAGCATAAATACATAGCCTCCTGAAATGTGGCCATTTTAAGAAAGGAGCGGATATATATTTGAAAAAGGGTGGCCCTCCCCATAAGATATCAAATGTATGGGCTAATATTTTTTTCCCTCTATCCCTCAGGCATATATATATATATATCCTGAGTATTACAACTGGGTTCATGTTCTCGTGCAAACATGCTCCTTCCTTTGCAGACACAGCTGCGCTTTGCAGTCAGACCCACAGACGCTACTTCTTCCCTGCACAGCTTTTCAAATTGGTGTTGCTTTGTCTGGGGGTTAATTTAAACTGGTGATATCTGATGTAACAACGTCAGGGTCAGCAGGGCCGAGGGAGACTTCGCAAATTCCCTGCCCCAGCAAATCTCTGTTACTACAGTGGTCCTTAACGGCCCCAGGACCTGGATTAGTGCCTGGATATCTGCCTGGGACTTGGGTCCTTCCTATAAAGCAGGAGTTGTCACACTTTCTGCCAAGGGGCAGATAGTAAATCTTTGCTTTGCCTCAATATTCTAGTTTGTACGGTCTCTGTTGTAACTCCTCAACTCTGTTAAGTCATTGCAGAGCAAAAGCAACCGTAGATAATATGTAAATGAGTAAGTGTGGCTGTGTTCTAACGAAACTTTACTAATGGGCACTAAAATTTAAATTTCATATAATTGTCTCATATTATATATACAGACCAAGGGGAGTTGCTGAGCCAACACCCATAGTGAGTGCTCCCCAGGTGGTTTCTGGGACTGGTGGTGGTTTGCCCTGAGCAACTCTCCCATCCTGACCAGCGCACTGAGCTGTTACAACAGTCGTCACCATCACTGACATTTGACAGAGCACTCTTTTAACACACTTTATCTCATCTAGTTTCCACAAAGTAGCCTGTATCCGTCTTTTATCATCGAGAAATGGAGGCTCAGGGCGGTTAGGTAACGTCCTCAGTCAGTACCTAGCACAGCTGGGAGTCAAACTCCAGACCTTTGCTTTTTTCCAGCACTATTCCTGAGCCAGCCCCATCTCAGAGGCTGGTGCAGGGCGGGGAAGCAGCTTCTCTCCTCTGTGCATGACTCAGCTGGGCCACGTGCATGTCCCGGCTCTGTCCTCAGCGTCACCTGCTCCGTTTCTCCCAACCAAACTAAAGCACCTGTGGAGGAGGTGCGAGCCTCCTTCATGAGCAGCACCCCCAGCCTAGGGCTGACATGAGGGGGCTCCCCAGACAGCAGAATGACTGACCTTGCTTTCCAGGAGGCGAGTTCACCCGTCAGGCCGAGGTGACCTTCGTGGGGTCCCCGGGCAAGCTGATCATCAAGCAGCAGTTCAGCGGCATCGACGAGCACGGACACCTGACCATCGACACGGAGCTGGAGGGCCGCGTGCCCCATATCCCGTTCGGCTCCTCGGTGCACATCGAGCCCTACACGGAGCTCTACCACTACTCCCGTGGGGGTGAGCCGCCAGCACCGCGTTGGGGGTGGAGGGCGAAGGGGGTGTGGGAGGTGGGGGGTGAGGGGGTGAGGGAGGTGGGGGTGAGGAGGTGAGCCGCCAGTGCCGCGTGGGGGGTGAGGGAGGAAGGGAGTCGGGGGGGGAGGGGTGGGGTGGGAAGGTTGGGGGGACAGCCCCAGCTCCCCACTGACTCTAGACCGACCCACTGTTGGCCAGGGCCATCCCCTGGGCTTCCTAGCAGGAAATAGACTGGCACTAGCTTATTAAAATCACCTTTTCCCCTAATTACAGTCATAGTACCCACTAATAGAAAATTAGTGTGAAAAAATTAAGCATAATGGTAGAACTGGGACATAATTATTATTAGGTTTAAATTATTTCCTTTCAGCCTTTCCCCCATTTATATATAAAATACCCCAGCAGAGGCGCCTGGCTGGTGGGGGGCCGGGGGGGGAGCGTGGGACTCTTGATCTTGGGGTTGTGGATTCGAGGATTCAAGCCCCACCTTGGATGTAGAGATTACTTAAAAATGAAAATCTTAAAAAAGAAAACCAACATATATAAATATAATATTTCGACACAGATCTTCTAAGTCCTAGGGTTGTAATGTACAGCCTGGCTATTACATCTATATGTAAATATATGTACATATGTATATATCTGTATTTTAATTTACTATTTTAAATAATTTCAAACTTACACAAGAGTTGAAAGTAGCACGATTTCCATCTGCCATTTACTCACTTTCACCAATTGTTAACATTTTGCCATATTTATTTTATCATTCTCATATATATATATATATCTTGCAAATAATACATTTTTTTGAAAGTAAGTTGTAGTCATTGTGATCCTCCTCCCCCTAAATAAGTCACCCATTTTTCTTAAGAACAAGAACATTCTCTTATGTGGCCACAGTGCAATGTTCACAGTCAGGAAACTTCACATTGATGCAGTATTATTATGTGCTCTACAGTCAGGTGTATATTTTTTATTTAAATAAAATTGCAGTTATGCCCCATTATTATATCTTCATTTTCCAGTTAATTTCAAATCCTGAATATTTTATAGTTTCATTCAGTAGGCTTTGAAAACACTTTTTAATGAATCTGCATGATTGTCTTGTATGGCTATTAATTTAAACCATTCTATTTTCTAAAGCTTAAGTTATTTCCAATTTTCCCATCCCATAATGAGTTGAAAGGACCATCTTCATCATAAATCTTGACCAAATTTCTGATTCTTTTCTAAGATTCAATTCCTAGAAGTAGAGTTGCTGAGCCAAACAATAGGAGCTTTTTAAAGGCCCTCATTAAATCGCCATCCAGAAAGTTTGTACTAATTACCACGGCTCTGTGGCTCGATTGGGCTCTTCTGGGGACCATGAGCGTTGGTGACTAGGAGGTGGAATGAGCAGCAGGACCCCAGTCTGCCGTCAGCCTGCGACCAGATGGTGTTTCTGGCAGCACAGAACGTGGGAGCTGGACAAGAGGCAGCTTACATTAGTCTTTTATTTATCCTCCGGCTTTTGTTATGAACTACAGCAGAGCACACAGATATAAAGAGCCTTTTATTCTTTTTTAGTTATTTATTTTTTAAATAGGAAGTTGAGAGTTTCATCGTATGGGTGAAAAGCAAGCTCTCTCCTGAGCGGGAAGACTGTCTCTCTTTCTTCTCCTCTGTTGAGGTTTGCTCATGGCATTATAGTAATTTTTCAGAAATTGGCTACTGAAACCCATTTAGTGTCTCATTTTTTTTTTTTTGGTATCAGAGAATGGCTTCATCTAGGGTGATACATAGCCACTACTATTTATTGAATCTCAAGTGAGATTATATAAAGCTGTTAGCTCTCTGTTAGTCACATGGTCAATGCTCCATAAATGGTAGTTTATCTTAGTAGTATTAGCCTGCGTGGGTCCAGAAATTTTACACACGTTATGTCATTCTCACCCCAACCCATGTTGTAAAAGAAATGGCGGCTGAAGAAGTTGTAACCGGCCTGCGATCGCACACCTTGTGAGTGGTGGTGTCAGTTCAGGTGTATCTGCTTTCAAGCGTGTGCCCTTTCCACTGGACCTTAATCTCTGGGTTGGTTCTGGGTGGCTTCAGAACTTACAAAGAGCACTTGATGAGAGAAAGCAGTAAATATTACTAATGCAAACAATACCACAATAGTGTGGGAAATCTAGGTAGCGCAACGAGTCCCAACACAGAAATTAGTGGTCTTATGTAACTCGTTCCATCTGCTCTCTCATCTGGACTGGAAATACTGCCCATGGTTTTAAAGCCCTTGACTAAACCTCTTGCCTCGTTTGTCACCCTGCCTTGTCTCCCTTCTTCCCCCGACACCGCATCCCAGTGATCACCTCCTCCTCCATGCGGGAGTACACTGTGATGGAGCCTGAGCAAGATGGAGCTGCCCCTTCCAACATCTACACTTACCAGTGGCGCCAGACCATTACCTTCCAGGAATGCGCCCATGACACCTCCCGGCCGGCCCTGCCCAGCACCCAGCAGCTCTCAGTGGACAGCGTGTTTGTCCTGTACAACCAGGAGGAGAAGATCTTGCGCTATGCGCTAAGCAACTCCATCGGTCCCGTGAGGGGTAGGAATGGCAGCTCAGATTGGGCATTGTGTGTCTGCCCTCACATCTGTGTCTCCTCTGGCATGTTGTTTTTCATCTTTTACTCTCAGTAAGAAGAAGAGGACGCTAGAGTATGTCCTGACAGAGATAAATAATGTTGCCATCTATGATTCTTAGAAAACTTACACATCTCTGTGTGGGGTGGAGTGAAGAATGCTAACCCATTGAGGTACCTTCCAGAGCAGACCATCTGAAGGCTATGGCTGGCTTTGGCAGGGCATTTCGGACACTCTCATGCTCAGCCTTGGGAATGCTCAGCTCAGGGTCTGAGGAGATCTAAATAAGGTCTGATGAAGGTCAGGCACGGAGCCTACAGCATCCCCTATCCTGTGGTAGCACATTGCTGGTGCTGAGGTCTGGTCTGTGGGTGCTTCTGGCTGCGGGCAGCATGCTGGTGTTTGGAGAGCTAGCATGCCATCTCGGTGTCAGACTCCACATCACCCGAATCTTCTAGCCCCATGGGCTCTGTATATTTGGGGTCTGGCATTAGGGTCTAGAGTTCTCTTTTCCAGTTCTTTTTAGTGCTCTCTACATACCCAGGTCACCTCTCCAGCTGACCGCATTTGACCTTGCTTAGCTCCATAAAGCAGAAGAGGGGCAGGTGTCTTTCTTCCTCCTTTGACAACTGTGGTTCTAGGCATCAGGGGTGATACATTTTTTTTTTTCTTAAAAGGCCCGCAGTAAACTTTCTAGGCTTTCCCAGCTCTACGGTGTCTAAAGATCTCAGTTCTGCCATTGTAGCACAAAAACAGCCATAGACTATATGCAAGTGAATGGATGTGGCTTTTTTCCAATAAAACTTTATTTACAAGAACAGACATGGATTTGAAGGGACATGGTTTGCTGATCCTGCCCCAGGGTGGCACAGGAGTCGGCTGGTTTCTTGTTCCGGGGCCCTCTGCCATTCTCTGGGTCATCAGCTGGACCTTATTTTCTGTGGAAGGAGGAAACCTGCAGGCATTCCTGAATTACTCACTTGGCCTCCTTGTCTCTCCTTCACAGAAGGCTCCCCAGATGCCTTGCAGAATCCTTGCTACATCGGCACTCACGGGTGTGACACCAATGCAGCCTGTCGCCCTGGCCCCAGGGTTCAGTTCACCTGCGAGTGCTCCATCGGCTTCCGAGGGGATGGAAGGACCTGCTCTGGTACAGCCAACCCTTCTGACTTGTGGGGGCTGGGGAAGAGGCTAGGAGGAGGTGTCTGGAGTCTGCAAACCAGAGGGCTGGGTGAAGCGAGGTTGCAGGGGTGAGGGAAGCACCGGGGGACATGCCAAGCCCCACACCTGGGGTTCCTGCAGTCATCTTGTAGAACTGAAACTCTGTCCCCATTAAACAACAGCTCCCCATTCCCTTGTCCCCCGAGCCCCTGGCCACCACCATTCTACTTTCTGTCTATGAATGTGACCCTTCTACGTACCTCATCGAGTGGCATTACACAGTTCTTGTCATTCCGTGACTGGCTTATTTCACTGAGCATAATGTCCTCAAGGCTCATCCACGTGGTAGCCTGGGTCAGAACTAACTTCCTTCTTAAGGCGGGAATCACATTCCACACACTACCATTTTTTTAATTCATTTGTCTGTCTGTGGATCCTTGGGTTGCTTCGACTTTTTTGGCTAGTGTGAATAATGCTGCTATGAACATGGGTGTACAAATACCTGTGTGAACCCCTGCTTTCAAGTCTTTGGGGGCATATACTCAGAAGTGGAATTGCTGGGTCATAGGGTGAGTCCATGGGTGATTTTTTTGAAGACACCCCACAGTGTTCCCCATGGCAACTGTCCCATTGAGTGGTCTTGGGTAAGTTACTAACTACTCCACCTCAGTTTCCCCGTTGGTAAATGAAGCACAGTATTACTGATCTCGAGGGGTTCTTCTGAGGATTACAGAAATAGGATGTAAGCCAGAGGAGCTCCTAGTATGCTCAAGAAACGTAGCTATTATTATAATTTTTAGGGGTTCATCCTATACAACCAGCCAGGGGGATGGATTTGGCCGATTCTAGGGACATGGCCCTCAGATGGCCACTAGGCATCGGGGTCCAATCTGTAGCGAACACCACAGCACTGCTGGTTGGCCCAGACAAGAAACCGAGCGAACTCGCCATTGCCCTGATTACCTGTCCACTGATGGACTGAAATAAACACAATCACACAAGGTCTTTCCCACGCCAGCCTCATCCTCAGAGTGTATACAGTTACTTGGGGGCATTTCTAGAACCCTGAGACAAGGGGACGTCACTTCATGATGGCTGAGATCATACAAGTCCCCTCCTCACCCTCCTCCAATGCCTTCATGTGAACCTTTCACACTTGGAAAACAAAGCCTCATGCGTCCACCTCCGACAGCCAGCCTAGCCCATCTCTTCAATGGTGAGACAAAGACCCTGCTGGCCTTTTGGACCACATTGCACAAGAGACAGACAAGAGTCTGTTTCACACATGCGTGTTATGCTGCCTTCCCACTGAACTTATTTGATTATAATTTATTTATTTATTTATTTTAAAGAATTTATTTGAGAGAGAGAAAGAGATCATGAGCAGAGGGAGAAGCAGACTCCCCGTTGAGCAGGGAGCCCAACGCGGGACTCCATCCCAGGACCCTGGGATCACGACCCGAGCTGAAGGCAGATGCTTAACCAGCTGAGCCACCCAGGCGCCCCTGATTATAATTTAATTTTGAATACTTACCCATGACAGCCAGTACTTCTACATTTGTGATTAAGTGTCATCTACTACCAAGGGCCAGTTAGTTGATGCCTGACTCAGTGAAGAGTCCATCCACAGAGGCAACGAGTACAGGAATGTCAAGCCTTCAACCAGAGCCACCTAAATCTGCAGCAGAGGGCTCGCTAGCAGATGTAGGAGATGCTAGAAGGAAGTTCCCTCAGTGAAAGAGTGGCATGTACATGTATGTTTGCCAGAAAGGTGAGCAGCCCCCTTGAATGACTGGGGTCTGAGAATCTGGTGAGCCTTGAAACTGGAGGATAATGCCTTAGGTCTGGCATCCAGCCCTCTGATTAGTGGCAGATTTTGTGTGCTGATTTAACATAGAGGTTGGCAGATCCTACTGTCAGTATGTTGCTGTATTTGTCTCAGAGTGAGGTGCACTGGGGCATCTGAAATAGTGGGGAGCAGGAACTTGCACTTTACAGGAGCAGCCTGTATAACCATTTAGCCAGCCTGCTGATGGCTTTGTACAGGTGGTAGAATTCAATCCGATGCTCACCTTCATTGTAACATGCAACTGGGAGGGGGACAGAGTTCCTACTCACCTCTAATCATCAGAGTTTTCCAGAATTTCCCCAAATAGCCCAACAGTCTTGAATGGCTGAACTGGCTCAGGCCAGTTTGAAACAGCATGGTAGTTGTGTGTGTGTGTGTGTGTGTGTGAGAGCAGAGCCCTCCCAGGGCCAGGAAGATGGTGACGGACACCATGCAGGGATGGGGATCCCTCACTTCTCTGCTGGAAGCGTATATCTCCTTAGTCTCTATGTGGCCCTGCTTCAACTTCATAAGCCAACCCAATGTGGGTAAAGCATGGAGATGCCCCAACCCGCTGCTGCTGAACCATGACCTCTGGCTAATTCTTCCACTCTTAGTACCTGAGCAGATTGTAGCGGGAGTGCTTGCTTCACTTCCCAAGGCACAACCAGCCATACCTTACATAATCTGTTGCTATCATAGAAAACCCTCTGGTGCTCTCACTCAGGGAGATAGGTGCTCATGTGTGAACTTGCCTTTGTTCTCTGGTTAGTCTCCGTTCTGGCAGATTAGCACCATGGAATGTGAGGATATTCCCAGTCAGGCTACTTTTTGTTCGGGGTCACTAGAACATGCTTCGGAGTGTTAATGCATTGAAGCGTTAGGCTGTTGATAGGAAATTGCATTAAGCAAATCATGTCGTGTGTTATTTTGACCTGGAAAGTGACTTTGAAGAGAATGAGAATGAGCCTTTGTAATTCAGTTTGTGTAGCATTGATGTAATGATAGATGACATCCCCAACCAGCCCGGTGTTGGCTAGACGCTGCACGGTGACCCTCCAAGGTAGTTTGGAGAAGGTTTCCAGACGAATCGCAGAGTTCTGCCTGGCAGAATGACTCCCATACATTCCTCAGTTGGGAGTCTGTAGAGATCATTTTGGATAACCTCTCTTTGAGTAATTTTGAGTACACACAAGCCCTTAACAAATCAATCATGAGTCTCCTCTCCTCAAAGAGCCTGGCCTTGAGAAAAGGGGCAAATTCAGATTTGTTGAAAATATGTGAAAAGTAGCCACTCTGAAAAAAAAAAAGGAAGGAGTAATTACACAGATAATCTAGGACTTTCCTGTTGGGCTAGAGAATGATCTGCGTGCAAGGAAATCTCTTCCCAGAGACAAGAACAATAAACTTGGAGCAGATTTTGTGATATTTTATGAGGGGCGGTTAGCACCAATTCACTGTGTCCACTAAAGGAAGGATTAGAGTCCTAGCCTCAATTTACAGGATTTAAAGTAGACATTAGGAAAAAAAAATAAAGTAGACATTAGGAAGAATTTCACTATAAGGACTGTGAGCTCTTAGTGGGGAAACTCCTAGAGTCTTGCTCTACAGAAAAGATGTCACACTGCTTGGGTCTATATATATATAGAGAGAGAGAGAGAGAGAGACCGTCATAGAGGTCTAGATCTTCATGCGCCAGGGGACCATGCCCTCCCTCATCCCACAGGCCCCCAGGTCCCCCTAGGTAGGACGTAAGGGATTGATCACCCTCCCAATCACTGAAGTAGCTTTTTTGAAACACACAGCTTCCCTGTCCGAGGGACTGGAACTTGGAACCCTTCCCCGGGTGATTTTGCTCTGTCCCTTTGATTGAAAACTGTTGCTCTGGGCTCTTGTGCTTTGGCAATGGAGTCCGAGCTGTGGAGCCCTGCAGTCTGAACAGGGCGTCCAGACATCTGTGCTGGGAGTGTCCTCTGAGAGTTAGGGCACAGAGACCGTGGAAGCCGGGCTGATTTTTTTCTCCTGTGTTGTCGGAGCAGCTGCTGGGGGCTGGAGCTGTGGAGTCCACACTCGCTGGATATCTCCGTAGCCACACCCCAGCTCCAGCTCGTGGAAGAGGCCGCTTTGGGAGGGGCTTTGTTCTCTAACCTGCCAGCTGTGCTCGGTTAGAGATATGAGGTCCTCTTGTGTGAGACCTCTTGTATGAGACCTCATATCCTAAACGTCGCTAAGGATCGTGCATTGCAATATATTTTTAAAAAGCTGAATACCATTTGGTTTGGGTTTTTGCATGGGTAGAGGTCAAGCTCTGGGGCTGATGTGGCAAAAACTCTCGAAAGTTATGCACAGAAAAAAAAAACTCTTACTGGGGTGCCTGGGTGGCTCAGTCAGTTAAGCGTCCGATTCTCTGTTTCAGCTCAGCTCATGATCTCAGGGTTGTGAGATGGAGCGTTGCGTCCAGCGTGGAGTCTGCTTGAGATTCTCTCTCCCTCTGCTCTCCCCCCCAATAAATAAATAAATGAATAAACAAACAAATAAATAGAAAAAATCTTATTAATGTTACTTTTGGAATATAGAAAAGTTTTATTTTTAATTTTTAAATTTTTTTAAATTTTTTAAATTAACATATAATGTATTATTTGTTTCAGGGGTACAGGTCTGTGATTCATCAGTCTTACACAATTCACAGCGCTCAGCATAGCACATACCCTCCCCAATGTCCATCACCCAGTCACCCCATCCCTCCCACCCCCTTCCCCTCCAGCAACCCTCAGTTTTTTTCCTGAGATTAAGAGTCTCTTCCATTTACAGGCCAAAATGCTTTCTATCTTATTATATTTACTGATATTTGAAGTTTTTCTTAAAAGTCTGCATTTTAAAAAAACTCGTTGTAGATATCGATGAATGTTCAGAACAGCCCTCGGTGTGTGGGAGCCACGCAATCTGCAATAATCACCCCGGAACCTTCCGTTGCGAGTGTGTGGAAGGCTATCAGTTTTCAGAGGAGGGAAAGTGTGTGGGTAAGTTCTGTGGGTAACTTTTTAAGACGCCTGTTCATATGGTGTGCGTTCACATCTGTGCGAATGAAGGTGATGCCCCAGGTAATTATCCTGGTTGGGATGGCAGGGGCCGGCTTCTTTTGTTCAGGGAAGCAGTTTACAAAGATGAATCAGACTTCACTCCTTCCCCCCACCCACCTGGAGGGTCATACGTCTAAGGAATAAGCAACGTTATTGTAAGCCACAAGTCATAGCAGAACTTCTTAGCCTTGCCAAAGGAAATGAGTTGAAGCTCTTCATTGGGCTAATAATGCTTTAGGTTGGTGATGCTTTGGGGGGTGGTGCTGGTAGGCCAACCACAAAGAGCCAGATTGTTTAGATTTTTTCTACTTTTTTTTCTACTGCCGCACTTTGACCTGTGGGTTCCAAGAATTTTAAGTTCAGAGATTCTTGCAGATTTCCGGGTCTGGAGGGCAGCATGCTGAATGGGCCATCCGAGCTCAGCATTTCTTTCCAATTTTAAAACAGATTCTTCTTGTATGGCGTCAGTGAACCACCTCCTTGCCCCTTCCTTGCTGCTCACTAAAGCCTAGCGTGCATTCTGTTTGCTCTGTCTCGAAGCTCAGATGAGGCTGCCGAGGTCCCAGGGTGAGGTGATGGCTTGAGGGCGGAAAGGAACAGGCAGTTCTCATATTTTGAATGTGACCCAAACAGCTGTGGACTTAGAGAAGCCAGTCCCCTTTGCACAGAGTGCAGATTTCAGCTCTGCTAAGGTTACTTCTTTTTCTTTTTCAATAGAGAACAACCATTTCTGTGTATCTGGCCTGACTTCCTTCCCTGCTTTTTTGAGGTGGAGGCGATTCGAACATTTATTTTTCATGACAGCACCATTTACATTACATCCGGACTCAGACCTGGGGGGTGGGGGGTGCGGTCCTGGGGTAGATGGCTGTGAGGCGTGACGTCCTGGGTTTCTGTGGCCAACCGTCCCTGACGTGCACACTCACTGGGGGGCAGGTAGGGTGCAAATGTCTACTCCGAGGCATTGGATTTTGAGGAAGACACTTAATGTGTCTGGACCTCAGTGCCTCAGACTGGGTCATGGGTTCACTGTGCCCCCCCCCCCCCCCCGGAGCTCTTGGAGATCCCTCAGGAGCTGCCAGTGAGGATCCATGGGAGCCTGGGCAGATTTGTCCTCCGCCCCGACCTCCAGCCATTCATTTCTCTATACCTCACATTCTGAGTGAGACTGTGTTTGAACGGTCGATCCCACCGCTCAGAAACAAATGTGAAAACCACCTGAAGATCCTCCACCGGATCAACCCCTATTACTCAGCTCCTTTTGACACTCGCCACGTGGAGAGGTGGCTCACGGGGTAAAACCAAGTCTGCCTGAACGCATTCAAACAAATCACTCTGGCTCGTCACCGGATCACCTAACGGGCAGTTTCACCTCTGCTGAAATTCCTCGTTACAGCTATATGCTGCGTGGGAACCTGGGTTGGAAAGGTTTTTCTCCAGGTCGCAGCAGGGAAGGGAGGGAAGAGAATTGGGACAGTTTCGGAGGCCGGTGCTGTGAAGGCTGGGCTTCGTGCAGTGGACGTGGGCTGGCCAGATGTAAGGATCTTTCCGTGAGGATCGGTATTCCGTGTGGGAGGGGCTGCCTCGTGGACTTCCGTGTTTGGCATTTCCTATAAACCCATGACCTTTCTCTTTTCTACGGCGTGCCAACTTTTACAGTTAATTAGAATGTGCAAAGTAAAGGAAACAGCGGAAACAGCCCATAGATCACCTTTATGTGGAGACACAGACAACCTGCCTCTGCATGGCCACAGCCCTACGACACGTGGCTCTGGGTGTGGAATGTGGGGAAATCTGAGGTTCCATTGACCCCTCATATGGGTGTGTTTGTGCAGTGCACAACACCATGTACCTGCCCATCCCTCAGGGCAGGAAGAGGGCCTTAGGCTTGGCCTTAGCTTCCCCCAGCGTTCTCCCTTCTCTGTCATATTGTTAGGAAAAATTATTGTAAATCATTCACTTTTGTGACCTTATCTTCAGAACTTAAAGTAAGTAGGGAAACCACCCTCCTTAGAGCTCCTTATACCCTGTAAACCTTTCTCTCCTTTTTTTTTTTTTTTTAAAAATTTTATTTATTTAATTGACAGAGAGAGAGAGAGACAGGGAACACAAGCAGGGGGAGTGGGAGAAGGAGAAGCAGGCTTCCCGCCGAGCAGGGAGCCCGATGCGGGGCTCGATCCCAGGACCCTGGGACCATGACCTGAGCCGAAGGCAGTCACTTAACCAACTGAGCCAACCAGGCGCCCCCCTTTCTCTCCTTTTAACATGTGACTTCTTTCCCTCAGTTGCCCTTCCCTCTTGGCATCTCCCTCCTTCTCTCCCATCGCCTCATTTCCAGCCCCCACCAGCGTGCGGGTGGCTCTGGGGGACTGCTGCCAGGTGGGTGGCAGCAGCTCAGGCCCAGCCAGCCCGCTCTGCTCCTTCCAGCTCAGGGCACGGTCCCTTTCCACGCTTCTCTTCAGAAAAGGAGGCCCTAGAAAAAGCACAACCCCAGCGTACAGTCTGCTTGGAATTCTAATTAAATTTTAATTCTCATTTGAGCCTGGTTTGCTCTCCTTTCCAGAAAACCCGCCTCCCTCCCAGCGTGTAGCTTCCCATTACTGGAACAGGTGGGATCAGAGTTGTAGAGAAATCGCCAGCTCCACAAGGTCGGGAACCTTTGAGGAAAGCACAGCGGGGCGCCCCAGTGTCCCCCCTGGTGGCTTAGGTTGTTGGGGCAGCCGCTGTCCTCCGTGACTGTCCTGACCCCTCTCTGAATGATCATCGTCAGCAAGAGCATCTAGAAACTCCGTTTGAGTGAGAACTGAAGCACACTGCCAGGGCTGTGGGCTGTGTGCTCGCCGTCAAGAACCGTGGAAGAGACTTTCCCTCTTAACTGACGGGAAGCCTCACTTAAAAATGCCTCACTTATTTTAAAAATTAAACAGGTAGAACTAAGCCATTTGGAATGACTAAGCCATTTGGAATGGCAAAGCCGGCTTTTTAAACTTCTTTAAGAAGCGAATTGCTTTTGGCATGGCAAAGCGGTCTTCCATAAAGAAAAGCATGATGTAAAGAATTCAGTTATAAATTGCCTTTTTCTAGAAATGATTTGAGGATTATAGAAACGCATGTGTGACAACAATGGCTGGGAGGGAATGTCGAGACCTATAGGTGCTTGCCCTGTTTGGAGGGTCTCCTCTGTTAATGAGGGTGGAGTAAAACGAGGCCGTGAGCGAACCTCACTTTATAAAATGACCACCCACGAGCTATAAAGGGCGTAAATATGTGTCGGAAGAGAGAAGAGAAAGCAGAGTGAGACTTGTTTTCTGGTAGTTTCGTCTGCGTGTACTTTCCCTACCTTTGAGGGACCCTAATTTGTTGAAAGTTGGGGCGCCTCAGCTGAAGGAGTTGGGGGTGGAGGAGGGGGGCCCTAGAGAAAAAAAAGAGCATTAGAGACGAGGTGACAGGAGAGAAGACAGGAGGGTCCAAGGAAGCAGAGTGTGTTCTTGAACTTGTTAGGTATCATCTGGATGACCATTTTCCAGACAGAAATTTGGACCCTTGAAGAGTATCCTCTCCTTGACCTGTCCCCTGACAGTGCTTAGAGCTCTCTCTCTCTCTCAAAGACAAGAAAAACTGGAATCAATCTTGGGAAGATTCAGTGAGGAGGAGAAAGAGGAAAAGCCCCCCTTCATTGGGATAATCCAGACGCGGAGGGCTTCCTTGGCGGGAAGGAAGAGGGTTCTGTTCTGACATTGTGAGGGACGGGATTCTGTCCTGGGTCTTAGAGCTTTAAAACCAGAAGCTAAACGGTGCCTTGGGAACCCCAGAGAACCTGCACCAGCCATTGAAAATACCCCCGAGACCTCAGCCCTTGACTTCCATCTTGAGGCAAGAGCACAAGATGGTGTTGTCGGCCATCCCGTCGGTCACTCACCCACTTCCTGAGCCCTCGTTCTGTGAGTTCTGTCATCGGGACCCTCTAAAGAATAATAGCTCATCTACTGGGCCTCCCTGTGCTTGGCATGTGGGAAGTAATTCCCACAGAGGAAGAACGTGAGGCTCTGAGAAATTATGTATCCAAAGCCATGTGGTGGACACGTGTGTGTACCTGGTAGAAACCCAGGGGTGCTTACACCCCAAAACCCACAGTCTCTCTACAACACCTGTCTCACTGCCCTGGAAACATGTACTTCTTCCTTCCTTCACGGGAAATGGGTGACTTTGCCTTCAGCATTCGTATTCAGTGCTCTACCTGCCTGGTGGCCAAGGGTAAAGACACCGTGTGGAAGTCTCAGATCCTTGGCTCTAAATGCTCCAGCAGAGTCGCCGCAGGAAGTACATACACCTGCACGTGGCCCACCTCCACGTCTAGGTGGAAGGAAAGTTGGGTTTGGAGGCCCTGGTATGGAGAGTGGCCTGAGACAGAGCCCCGGGGTGAAGCTGAGGTTGAGTACCAGGTGGAAAGACCAGCCATGGGGTCCATCTGTGAAGACTGATCAGAGGCAGGTGGCAGAAAATAGGAAGTCCAGGGGTATCAACCCAGTGGGGAGCAGAGGAGGAAGCCTGACAGGATGTCTGGAGATCTGGGGTCTAGGCACATTCTCCTCGGTGGACTAAACCACTGACGTAGAGGGAACTTACTTAGAAGGGCACCGGGACCGCTCGGGGGGCCTCTCTTCAAACATTGTGTGTCAACCTTGTGTTTGAAGCTATTGCGGACCAACGCCCCATCAACTACTGTACCACCGGTCTCCACGACTGCGACATACCCCAGCGGGCTCAGTGTATCTACATGGGAGGGGCCTCATACACCTGTTCCTGTCTGCCAGGCTTCTCTGGGGATGGCCGAGCCTGCCAAGGTGCGTGTTTGCTCTGATTTTTCTCTCTGTGGAGCCTGAAAAAAAATCCCCTCTGGCCAATTACCAACTCACCCTGAAATTAAGAGAATTAACGGCTGACAGAAAAAAATAATTCTCTTGTTCAGTGCAGAACCTGCAACACACTTGTCTTTCATTTGTCTCTCTGTAGTAGTGTGAACCCTGCGTTTTCCTTTGGGGGTTGTTCTCATTGGGGAAGACGCTTAGCCTCCCCCACTGCTATTTTGTTCTGCGTGACTTGCTCACGTAGGCAATAATTAGACTCCTGCTGTCTGCTGGGAACTGAGATTTTCTTTTGCGAAAAGGCAAACAACTCCTGGATACATGGCTTGAGGTCCAGCTTTTTGTTTAGTAAGATATATATAGTCATTCCCCTGGCCTGCTCTCACCTTCTGCTCCAAAACAAGCCAAGTCCCCTTACTGAATAAATGATGACAGTCAAAGAATAAACGATTGCCCAGAATTCTTTTAGACCTGAGGTCAGTCTTTCATTGGCTGCCAAGATGTTCTTAAAGATGATTTTAGGTAAGATAACTGAAAAAAGTATCCTGACCCTTTGATTTGCAAAATTGCTTAACAGCCTACAGTATTCCTGAAAAGTCCAAGCTTTTCTAAGATTATAATTTCTGAGATATTTTGTTGTCATTACTGAACACGTGAATTTTCTCTTGTCTCTGAGGTTTTTCTGTCAGCCATTAATAATGTTTCCAAACTCTCCGACATTTTTGAAGCCCTCATTTGTGATGAGAAAGGCTCATTTTATAATGCAAACGAATCTTCTCTTTTTTCCTTTTGCATGCTTGACTTTCCATGAAAACACTATCATCAAAGTGAAACACATTTATAAATACACCAGATAGAAACTGGAGAGTTCGTGTTTTGATGAGTCATGTTTAGTAAATTTTAAATCGCTGTTCCCAGATCAGACACAGAGTCCCCTGGAGTTGAGCAAGTGGTTTAAGTTATTGTGTAAACTATGAATTCCAGAAGAAATTTCATTGTCCCCTGGGCTTGGTGGCTGTTTTGCAGACGTGGATGAATGCCAGTCAAGCCGATGTCACCCCGATGCCTTCTGCCATAACACTCCAGGCTCCTTCACGTGCCAGTGCAAACCGGGTTATCACGGAGACGGCTTCCACTGTGTACCTGGAGGTAAGGTGTCAGAGACATTTGGAGCTGGTAGGCCATGCCGCATTCATGAGTACTGAGTACATGGCCCTGGGAGAGGAGCTGAGGTGGGGAAGTTGGAGTCTCTATGGAGAGTCTTACGGGTTGTTGAGGTGGGAGATCAGGGCACGGCTGCAGTGTGTAATTGTGCAGGTTGTGCACTGAACAACTCCGGGGGGTGCCACGCAGACCATCGCTGTACTGGCAACCTAAAGTCTGAGCATCCTTATAACTTGAGCAAGCAGTTTAGGGTAAGAACTGCTCTGTATTAGGTTCTCCAGAGAAACAGAGCTAACAGGATGTGTATGTGTGCACGCACGTGTGTGTGTCCATGTTGGTTTGTTTATAAAGAGATGATAAGGAATTGGTTTTCCCAATTATAAAGACTTGCAAGTCCCAAGATCTGCAGTTAGCAAACTGGAGGCCCAGGAAAGCCAATGTTTCCATTTGAGCCTGAAGGCAGAGAGAAGCCGGTGTCCCAGGGTCGTAGGTCATCGGGAAGGAAGGATTCTCTCTTAGGCAGGGAAGGCCATCCCAGCTTCCTAGGAGACATGGAGAATAGAGCTCGGGCGGGGGTGGGGAGCAGGGGTGAAGAGCCACCACTGGGGAAAGATGCAGGTTGAGGACTCTACAGAATTGTCCATATTACCTGTCATACCTGGACTGTTTACTTCCTGAAGTTACCTGAGGAGGGGAAGGGCAAAGGGAGAGAGAGAATATCAAGGGAGCCCGATGAGAGGCTCGATCTCACGACCCTGAGATCACGACCGATCCGAAATCAAGAATCAGATGCTTAACCAACTGTGCCACCCAGGCGCCCCCATAATCGTCTTTTTAAAAATGAACACGATTACAATCTCCATTTACACAGAGGATGCTGACGCTTAAGAAGATAAAGGTGTAATCAAGGTCCCACTGGTATTAAGTGCTGGAACCGAGACTCAAACCCAGGTCTGTCAGATGGACTCCAGCCTGGATTCGGTCTCCTAAACCACATGATATTCTGTCATGAGATTAAGGATATACCTGACACCTCAGGCTGGAGTCATGTGGTTACTTATTTGTAATTATTACTCTCTTATTGGCCAGATGTATTTATGCCACTGTAAATATGTCCTATATATACACAATTATTTATAATGTTTCAACCAAATACCCATTTTACCACCACCTTTTTAAGCAATTAATAACTATTTCAATGTCTGTCTACACTAGTGCATACTACCACTTGCACATCAAATCTGGCCCAGCTCCTGTTTTTGTAAATAAAGTTTTATTGGAAAACAGCCATGCTTGTTAGTTCATGTATAGCCTATGGCTTCTTTAATTTTACAAAGGCTGAGTTCAGTAGTTGTGGCAGAGACTATAAGGCGTACAAAGCCTGAAATATTTACCACCTGGCCCTTGATAGGAAATGTTTCCCAACCCCAGCCAAGAAGAACCGAGGCAGGGCCAACCCTTTGTTCCTGAGGTTGTGGGTAAAAACCGTCATGCCACCCCTAGATTCTGATAGGCAGGTTACATAGAGAAGAGTTCATGATAACCTCAGTCAAGACATTGCAGCAGCTACTAAATATGACTAACATTCGTTATTTCCTTAGGCTTGCTTAAATCGCCAGTTCAAAAAGAAGGAGATGTTTCATTTTTTGGTTTTTGGTTTTGGTTTTTGACCTCACTCCTTGCCCCTTCTCTAAGGCTCTGTTAACTAAACAGAAACAAATTCAGCCCTGCAGGCTGGGATATGAAGACCGGACAGGATAAAACCAATCGGAGCTATCTGCTAGGATTGTTTATGTGTTCCATCCTGTTCTCTTAAGATTCAACATCTAGTTATATCGTCAAGAGAGGATGTGCGCTAGAAATATACGTGAATGTTCATTGAGTATTGTTGTAACAAAAAAAATCTAAATGATCATCAACAGGAGGAATGGACCAGTGAGTTTTGGTACAATTCATACAATGAAGTAATACACAGCAGTTAAAATGAGTGAGCTAGAGTCGATGGATAAATCTCAAAAACTTGCTGAGCAGGAAAAAAGTGGCAGAAGGTTATATACAGTATGATCCCGTTTATGTAAAATATAGCACTGTCTGAAAATAAACCAACGTGTGTATACATATGTAAGAAAGCTACAAAATGCATATATAGGGATGAGAAACAAAAACTCAGGGCTCAAGGTTACCTGCACAGTGAGAGAGAGGCAGTTGGGATTGAGGAGGGCTGCACAGGGGCTGCTTTCGTATTTCTAATTATTTTTTTCACCTGGAATAGGAACACAGAGGTTTTCTTCATATGTTCTAAATTTTGTCTGACTAAAATATTTTATGAAATATTAACAGAGAGAAAAATAATGTGTAGTGTCATCCGGACTCCTATTGCCAAACACAGTAAAGTGCAGGGAATCACAGTCAGCATTTAATTTGGTACCTACTGTATACAGTGGGGACAAGTTTTACAAAAATCAAACTAAACTGGCTTTGAGGGTGAGTCAGCAAGTTAAGGTCACGGCTACTACAGTGTCACCCGATGACAGGCAAGACAAGAAATTGGGATTTGGGGGCGCCTGGGTGGCTCAGTCGTTAAGCGTCTGCCTTCGGCTCAGTTTATGATTCCGGGGTCCTGGGATCAAGCCCCGCATCGGGCTCCCTGCTCCACAGGAAGCCTGCTTCTCTCTCTCCCACTGCCCCTGCTTGTGTTCCCTCTCTCGCTGTGTCTCTCTCTGTCAAATAAATAGATGAAATCTTTAAAAAAAGAAAGAAAGAAAGAAAGAAATTGGGATTTGCTCCCGCTGCACTTCTGCACTCTTGCTCACAATCCAAGTGTGGATCGTGAAATCAGTTCAGTAGACTGCTATTATCTTTTCTTTTCAATGGAATAGAACAGAAAACAATAATCAGGAAAACATCTCAGTAGGTAGAGTGTACATAGTAGGGAAAAGTACCGTTTCATGAAATGACGCTTGTCTTGGGGAATGGGTGAGCATGTGCGCATGCGCATAAGTGTGCCTGTGTGTATTGAGTTGCTGAGTGAAATGTATTCCTCTGGGTCATGGCCAGAAAGGTTGAAGGCCACCATGTTACAGTTGACTCTTGAACAACGCGGGGGTTAGGAGCACTGACTCTTGAACAACGCGGGGGTTAGGAGCCCTGACTGCCCCCCCACACACACACGCACCCAGTTGAAAATCTGTGTATAACTTTTGACTGCCCCAAAACTTAACTACTGATAACCTACTGTTGACCAAAAGCTTTACTAATAACATAAACAGTCGATGAACACATAGTCTGTATGTTATATATGTATTCTAACCATAAAGTGAGCTAAAGGAAAGAAAATGTTATTAAGAAAATCATAAGGAAGAGCAAATACATTTACATACTGTTTGGTAAAAAAATCCACAGTTCAGGGGCACCTTCGTGACTTAGTCGGTTAAGCGTCCGACTCTTGGTTTCAGCTCAGGTCGTGATCTCAGGGTCACAGGATCGAGCCCCGTGTCAATCTCTACGCTCAGCTTCAGAGTCTGCTTAAGAGTCTCCCTCTCCCTCTGCCCCTCCCCACGCTCATGTGTTTTTCTCGATCCCTCTCCCCCCCCGCCTTTTCTCTCTCTCTCTCTCTCTCTAAAATAAATCTTTTTTAAAAAAAATCCACAGTTCAGACCTGTGTTGTTCAAGGGTTAATTGTAGTTTTCTATTGTAATAAAGGATCCCCAGAGTTAGCAGCTGAAAACATAAATATTTATTATCTCACAGTTCTGAGGGTCAGGAATTCAGGAGCAGCTTAGCTGGGTGGTCTTGGTTCAGGGTCTCTCATTAGGTTGTCGTCAAGGCATTAGCTGGGGCTACGGTCTTCTCTGAGGTACATTGGGGGCTGAGGGACCCACGTGGTTGCTGGCAGGCCTCCGTTCTTCACGGGCTGTTGGACTGAGGACTTCAGGTCCTCACAGCCTGGGTCTCTTCACAGGGCTGCCTCAGTGACTTCAAGACCTGGCAGCTGGCTCCCTCCAGAGCAAGTGATGAGAGAGAGAGCACATCCAAGATGGAAGCCACAGTCTTTTGTAACTTCATCTGGGAAGTGACAAGCTGTCACTTCTGGTGATACTATTAGTCACAGGCCAACCCTCCGACAGTGTGAAAGGGAATTGCCTAAATGTGAGAATGCCAGAAGGCGGGAGATTGGGGCCATCTTGGAGGCTGACAACCACAGCCACCGACCTTGTCTGGGGGAATGTAACTGTCTAGAGTTTTGGAAAGTAGGAGAGTGGATTATTAGTGGATCAAAGAGGCATATACAAAGTCCTGGCTAGAGTTGTAAAGCCTGGTCCTTAAGGGCAAATACCAAGCCTACCGATGTTTGATTACATCTCTTCACGCTTGGCAGTATGTTGTCACCAAAAGACACACCACACATCTTTAGACACAAAGGTAATTCAGGAGTTGAGAGAGCAGGGCTGCAAGGGAAGACAAAAACATTTAGGATAATACAACTTTTAAAGAAAAGAAAACTGAGGAACAATTTAATGGACACTTTTTGTTTGTTCTATGTCTTGTTTGTGTTTCAATGTGCCCTTTGCTTCAAGTAAACCCAATGTTAGAAAACTTGAATTTCCCAGTTAGATCTAGAAGGGGCTCTAGAAAGTCTATAATTCATCTCCTTTGTTTTACAAACAAAGAACATGAGGCCTGAATAGTTTTTGGTTTACAAAAGGTTCCTTGAACTCCTTATATAAGAGAATTTTCTATGGCAATTTTTCTCAAAATTGAGTAAGACCCTCTATTTTTTTTAAATTTTTTTAAAGATTTTATTTATTTATTTGACAGAGACACAGAGAGAGAGGGAACACAAGGAGGGGGAGTGGGAGAGGGAGAAGCAGGCTTCCCGCTGAGCAGAGAGCCCGATGTGGGGCTCAGTCCCAGGACCCTGGGATCATGACCTGAGCCGAGGGCAGACACTTAACGACTGAGCCACCCAGGCGCCCCTTGAGTAAGACCCTTTAAAAAAAAAATTCTTAAGGTCTCTGGTGTTAGATTATTTTTATTATAGATAAATCTAGGTGTGTGAAAGAGCCCCTAGGAATAGCTGGCCCCTGGTGGGGGCAGACTAGACAGGAAAAAGCTGAACAAGTAAGGCCTCGCCAAACAAGTTCCTCCACCCCACTGAGTATATCAGAGGCTACAATAGTTATTTATTTGAATTAACACAGAGAAAGAAATGTAATCAGGCAAGGAAATAAAATGCAAGTCAAGAGATTTAAAAGGTGCTTTTTTCTTATTTCTCTATTTCATTTTTCTCTCATTTTCTTTGCCCCCAACATTGAGAAAATCACCCCAGACCTCCTGCTCTTCCCTGAATAAATATCAGGTCTTGCTTGCTTCTTCAGAGTAGGTGAATAAAAGGAATCTTGCCCGAGTTGTCATTTGATCAGCCAGAAACAGGTCAGGAAATGTGTCTCTTTACCCCTCCCCATCCCACCCGCAATGGAGGGGTGAGACCCTCAGCAGGGGGCTCCCACTAGAGCTGCTTCTGCTGCCTGCTGGCCAGGCTGGGAAGCCATCCCAAAAAACCCAGTGACATCACAGCTTTCCATAAACACACTTGAAATTCCGTTTCCTGAGTCACAATTGGTAGGTTTTCTCCTCCTATTTGTAAGTTCAAGATACAGCACTTAAAAGTTGCTCTATAAATTGTAGATCACTTGAGATTTTGTATGTTGGCCAAACACCATGGCAACACAAAACTGTCAGCCACATAAAATGGAGTAACCCCTACTTCCTTAAAAGTTTGGTGTGGTTGATAGCACACACAACCCCAGGCCTGTTTTCTAGTTGGAAAGGCAGCACCATACACAGACATCGATGGAAGGAAACTGAGTCTGTGGGCCACAGATAATTTCAGTGAGTGCGTTAAGCTCACTTGTATATATCACCGTTGACATAACACGTCCACTGTGCTTGAGCCGTTCTGGGCAGTGGGCTCGTGGATGCAGAGGGGCAGGGGCTGGGCCAGGAATCCAAAGACCCAGGTTCTAGCTTGAGCTGAGTCACTTCCTAGTGCTGTGGCCTGGGAGCCCCTTCACCAATCCGAGCCTTGGGTCTCTCATTTGGTGTAAAAAATAAAGAGTTGTCTGTTGCATACAATTGTAGTAGAGAATTAAATGAAACGTGTGAATGGAGACAGTTGATATGGGAACTCTAAAACTCTGTGCACATGCAAGATATTGAGGAAGTAAACAAGTTCTACATCCAAGGGCCAAACAAAACCCAACATCTTTATTCTCGAGCATTTGGCTTATTTGTATCTTCATTTGGCTCTTCCTACAGCAAATATGTTGTTTGTTGGTTTGTTTTTTACTATTAGCCCCTAGGACAAAAGGGAAAGCATACCCACTTTTCCCTTGCCAGGTTCAACACACACTTTCCTGGCCCACTCACTGCTTCTGATCACGGGAGCAACCACGCGAAGCAGGCTAGCATGAGAATTGGCAATGTAGACAGAAGGTACTTTAAACATTTACTGAACGTCACTGTGGAGGCCATGTGTAGACATAGACACAAATGAACATTTGAGTGTGGAATTTCAAATTCCATCTGTACGCATTGTCTCATCATATTTCACTTCTCACAATAATACATGAGATTACTGTCGCCATTGCTGTCCTACCGTGAGAGGTGTGGCTTATTCAGCGTCACTGACGTGCCCGTGATAACACGAAAAGTGGTGGAACCGAGAGTCAGAAACACTTTTCAGACACAAAGTTTTGTGAAACATAGTACTGTATATTACGTTACAATATATATTATTACCAATACATTAATATATTGGTTAACACATATTAATATGTGAATTAATATGCCAACCGAAGGCCCCACCCTCTCCTCATACCATTTTATATTTATATAAAATATCTCCCTAACATTACTAGCAATGCCCTAGAGCAGGGGTTGATAACTAGAATCCCCACAGGCTGAATCTGGCCCACTGTCTGTTTTTGTAAATAAAGTTTTATTGGAACTCTCATGCATTTATGTATTAAATTTGGTTGCTTTCATGCCACAACTGCAGAGTTGTGGCCACACTCCAACCAGTGTGGAACCAGCTACAGCTCTGTGTACTGGGGAGCCATTGATTGATTCCAGGCCATTCCCCACAGGTAGAGAATTATTTCCTTACCTGGGGATCCAAGTTCCACGGTTGAGGCCATGTTTCATGCCAAACACGAGCTCATTGTTAAAAGGAAACACAAATGTTGGAAAATGTGCCCTGGGATGTTTGGTCTCCCAAATCTTTGACCTGGATTTGCTGTGGATAATCAAGAAGCTTGAGATGATAAAAAAAAGGACAAATTTCAGAGAAATGAAGTTTCTTAAAACAAATTTCCGTGATGCCCATCAAGTAATGAATGGATAAACAAAATGTGGTCTAGCCATCCCGTGGAATACTATTCAGCCATGAAAAGGAATGACGTACTGATGGATCCTACACTGTGAATGAACCCTGAAAACCCGCTGAGTGAGAGTGGCCAGACACAATGGGTCACGTATTGTATGCGTGACACGTACCTGTCACATTTATAGGAAATGTCCAGGAGAGGGAATCCATGGAGACAGATTGCAGGTTGCTGGCTGCCAGGGGCTGGGAGGAGGCAGAATTGGAGAGCAAACTGCTTCTGGGTGTCAGCTTTCCTTTGGAGCTGAGGACAGTGGATCAGCATTCCATAGAGGTGGTAGTTTCGTCATACCGTGATTATACTAAATGCTACTGAAGTGTTTACTGTGAAATAACTAATTTTGTGTTCTGTCAGTTTTGTCTCAGTGTTTACAAACTGAAAACAAATCGCTAAGGAGAGAAAAGAAAATGCAAATATGATCTTGACCGTGACATCCATTAAATAATATGATATTTTCAATTTTAGAAAACGAACCGCACAAAACCCAGCGATGAGCTTCCATGGGTCTGCGTCCGGTGCGGGTCTCCCGCAGCGGACACTGCCCAGTGACCCAGCTGACCACCTCCCCTGTGCTTGTCTCTGTCACAGAAATGGAGAAAACCCGATGCCAACTGGAGAGAGAACACATCCTCAGGGCAGCGGGGGTGACGGGCCCACAGCGGCCAGGCCTGTTTGTCCCTGAGTGTGACGAGCATGGGCACTACATGCCCACCCAGTGCCACGGCAGCACGGGCCAGTGCTGGTGCGTGGATCGTGACGGCCGTGAGCTGGAGGGCACCAGGACCAGGCCCGGGATGAGGCCTCCCTGTAAGTCGGAGGGCAGCACTGCGCTGGGCTTGGGTCTGAGAAGGGCCTCGGGGACCAGAGTCCCCGTGCCCGTGAGCAGCCCTGGGGGCCTTGCCCGGGACACAGGTGCCACGTTCTGTCTGCCCTAAATTGTGCACTGCTCCACCGGCCCGGACCCCACTCCCTCCCTCTCTGCCCTCTGCACCCCTCTTCTCTGTCTCCCTCATCATGCATCCCTCCATCTCTCTGTCCCCCAACCCTCTCCTCATACCTTTTCTCTTCCTCCCTGTGCACACCTGTTGTGTACAAATTTCAGTGGGACTGGCCGTGGCCAGACCACATTGGTAGCAGAGGGTATGTGTGCTGTGGGTCGCCCAGGGCACATTCCCTGCAGTGGCCGCCTGGCCTCCCAGCAGCTGAGGGCTGGGATGTGGCAGGCTTGGAAGACCCTAACCGAAGGCCTTCTCTGGAAGGTGTGGGGCCGGGAGCGGGGGAGCGTGAAGCCGGCCAGGCTGTGCTGCTCGGGACCCATACTGCCTCAGCCTCCACACTAGAGAGGAGCAAAACAATCTCCAGGATGGATCCGGCTCTAAAATCCTGCTTCTGTCTCAAGTATAGGAAATGGTCATTGTCACAAGTGACCAAAATCAATCAGTTCTTGAAGCTCCATTCTCAATTCAGCTGAGGATCAAGGATTGATCCTCTACCAGATATGTTCCTGAAGCTGCTAAGAGGCTGCTAAGTGAGTAGGGAGTGGTCCTTAATTCATGCAGCCAACATGAACTGAGCTTCAGATGCTGGGGTCAGTGCCCGGGGGTCCAGAGGGGGAAGTCACAGCGGTGGCCCCCAGAACCTCGCAGGACAGGTGAATAGGTGTAGGGCAGGGAGAGGAGCTCCGTGGGAGAGGAGAGGGCCGAGAAACCCAGGGGTTTACGAGGGTGGTGGGCTAGTTGGGGAAGGTGTTGCAGACCAGTATGTTATCGAGCAGAGGCAAAAGTAGCAGCTCTGGGGACGCTGGGGTTGAGGAAGCCGATTGCAGGCAGCAGGTGCAGGCTGGGAGGTTGGGGAGAGGAGGGGAGCCCAGGGGAGGGCCTCGGATGCCCAGCAGAGGGGCCTGGGGTTGATCCTGAGGGCAGCCGGGAGCCCGGGGAGGGTCTTGAGCAGGCACTGATGCGACCAGGTTCGGGTTTTAGAAATACCACTGGCTGATGGGTAGAAGCTGAGCTGGAGTGAGCGGCCCCGGCAGGTGCTTAACAGGCGAGGGAACCACCTGGCTTGCTGACAGGGAGTTTAGAGAGGAGGGATGGATTCCAGAGCTCTCTAGTAAAGGAGTTAGCCAGCCTGGTTTATGTCACTGACAGGGTACAATGGGCAAGACAGGCAGGCCGGAGAAAGAAGTGGAAATGGCCCCAGTAAGGACCGGGTCCAACTCTCTCTCTTCAGAGAGCCGGACACAGAGCCCCGGAAGGGCCATGACTCTTCCATTCTGGGTCCCTCCCCCTGCAGCCTGGGCTGCCTGTCCCTTCTCAGGACATTCTCTCGTCGGGGGGAGCCAGGGAGTGGTGCCACACATCAGGGTCTGCGTTGAGGCGAGGCCGAACCTGGAGGAGAATGAGACCCTGACCATCATTCTGTTCCTGGAAGGCCCAGGGAGGGCATGTGCCCGCTCGTTGGGTTGGGTCTGCGACTCGCCTGCCCCGCAGGACAGGGAGTGTAGGGCAGGTTTGCTCTGAGCGCCCCTCCAGCACCTTCTCCTGGAGTGCCAGCTCCCTGGGGGCAGGGGTTTAGGGGGGCTACTCTTGCTGTCGTTTTGGTTCACTGTGGCAGCCCGTGTCCAGCGCAGGGCAGGAATGGCTACGTTATTTCTGTTTCTAGTAAGGGGAAGGCTAAGCCATTGTTGTGGGGTGTTTGTTTGTTTGTTTCACATGACCTTTAATATTAAACTCATGCCTTCTCACATGATATATTATATCATAATAATAACTGCATTATTGGAACTCTCATGCATTTATGTATTAAATTTGGTTTCTCTTCATTTTTTTTTTTTGTTTAGTAGTAGCCACTAGCCACATGTGGCTCAGCTCTTGAAATATGATTAGTGCACCTGAGGAATCAAATTTTTTAATTAGCTACCTGTGGCTAGTAGTTACTATACTGGACAGCACAGGTCTAGGAAAACAATCTTTGGTTCAAAATGTGCCTTCTTGGCACGTGGCACAGACTCACTATCATGTACACAGGGATAGGTCTTCCCACATCTTTTAAGATTTCCTATCTCTTGGGGCGCCTGGGTGGCTCAGTTGGTTAGGCGACTGCCTTCGGCTCAGGTCACAGTCCCAGGGTCCTGGGATTGAGCCCCGCATCAGGCTCCCTGCTTGGCGGGAAGCCTGCTTCTCCCTCTCCCACTCCCCCTGCTTGTGTTCCCTCTCTCTGTCTGTCTCTCTCTCTGTCAAATAAATAAATAAAAATCTTAAAAAAAAAAAAAAGATTTCCTATCTCTCTTTTTCCATCCTGCCTTCACCCATTCTTTCATTCTGTATTCATTTTGTAGGTCTTCACCTGCATTAGTTCCTATCCACACGTTAAATCTGCCTAAGTGGTTAAATTCTGTATGTTCACATCCTCAGGCTCTTGCAGTTATTATATGATAATATATATATTAAAGTCATGCCTTCTCACATGAAGATAGTAAACTCATATCTTCTTCACAAACGCCCTCTGTGGTCTTTCTGCTCCTTGTGCTTTTAGATGTACAGTGGGCATTGTGTGGCCTGCCATTTGTGATGCCACGAAGGTGGCATGTCCCCGTGCGTGCGTGCGTTCCTGCTACGTGGAGGCCTTGCTAACTGACCTCTCCTGCCACCCAGGTCTGAGTACAGTGGCTCCGCCGATTCACCACGGACCCTCCGTTCCTACTGCTATGATCCCCCTGCCACCTGGGACCCACTTACTCTTTGCTCAGACTGGGAAAATAGAGCGCGTCCCCCTGGAAGGAAGCACCATGCAGAAGACAGAAGCCAAGACATTGCTTCACGCCCCGGTGAGTGCCGGCTAATTGTATATTAGCAATTAGCTTTGGTGCTTCGGTGACCTGGGAAATCAAGCAGGGGGTCGTCAGACCAGCCCTGGGGCATGACCTCTGGACTCGGGAGCCTCTTGATTTCCGTGTGACCCCAGGTGTCCATCTCTGGATGGGGCCGCTGTATTCTTGAGCTGCCTGTGGAGCTCCAGGAGGGGGTGGGAGCAGAAGCGGGAAGGCCTTCAGAGACCACTGTGGTGTCTGACCCCTTGGGTGGGGGCGTCACATGGGCTACGTGTCTTGTTTGTGTGTGTCTCCCAGGTCCGACCTTGCCATTCCTGCTAAATTAGTACAGCGGCTCATGTTTGGGGCTCAAGTTTGGCAGACCGTCACTCTAGATCCTCGTATCTGCCCCGAGGCAATAATAGGCTTCAGCGTCGAGCTTTTCAAAGCATCAAAGATGCATTTTGTGAGTTGGAGGTTTTTGTCCGTTAGATAGAGGTTGGACACTTCTGAAAAGCCTTCCAGTTTCATCTGCAGTCCTGACCACCCCCCAACCCTCGGCAAGAAACCAGACCTGCGAAATGGGGGCTTCCAGCACGATTCGGTCAGGGTCGCCGGGGCGGAGGGGGACCCTCAGGTCCCGTAAGGAGTGAAGAGGCTTTTCAAAACCTCTTGTCATTAGCCTTGATTGGATTCATGTTCTTCCCCTGCACAAAACCCTCTGATGGGTTCTCCCTTCACCCAGAATAAAATCCTGTTCTTCCCATGGCCTCTAGCCACTTCTCCCACCCCAGTCCCTGTCACCATCCCCGCCCCCCCCCACCGCCCCCGCCCCCCTCCCGCCCCAGCTTCAGCCATCTGGCCTTCTGGCTGGTCCTCAACTCACCACACACGGATCCCCATCTCAGGGCCTTTGCACTTGCCGCCCCCCTGCCTGGAGTCCTCACCCTCCCAGACACTTGTGCAGTTCCCTGCCTCAGCTCATTCACATTTCTGTTGGCACGTCACCTCTCTGGGGAGGCTGTCCTGGCCGCCCTGTCCACACTGCTCTCAGTCTCCCTACCCTGCTTTGTCTTTACCTAGCACTGCATGATACATTGTATATCAACCCATACGTTCTGTATCTGATGTATATGTTCCCACCAAGAACGGAAAGCTCTAAAGCTCGCAAGACCGGCAACCGTCCATCTCTTTCATGGAGGTATTTGTTTCACAGGGGCGTTCTTAGAGCCAAAACTATTTGCTGAATGAATAAGTGATCTCTGTGTTCTGCCTCTGAGAAACATAAATCCCTTCAGGGGCAATTGTCATTCTTTCTTTGTGTCCTCCGATGCACACGCTCAGGTAGCGCGAGTGGGTTGAGCCCCCTGTGACAGTCATTGTTGCCCAAGACGAAGGGCGGAGCCTGAATGTCAAGTGAGGCTGTGAAAAGCAAAAAATTGAGGTGGGATAGGTGGAGGAGAGGGCGCTCAAACAACAGGATTAAGATTCACTGTGTTCTTTTAATGTATTTTTGGGGGGGTTATTTTTTACCCTTTTAACCACTTCACCATGATGGTGCAACCATCGCCACCATCCACTCATCATCCCAACAGAAACTCTGTACCCATTCAGTAATGACTCCGTCCTTCCCAGCCCTTGGCAACCAGGCATCTACTTTCTATCTCTATGGATTTGACTCCTCTAGGGTGCCTCATGCTTTCCAAATCCTATGGTATACATCCTTTTGTAACCGGCTTACTTCGCAGAATGTCCTCAAGGTCCATCCGTGTTGTAGCAGGGGTCAGAATTTCCTTCCTTCTTAAGCTGAATAATATTCACGGTATAGATTTAGCACATTTTGCCTCTGCATTCGTCCATCGATGGACACTTGGGTTGCTTCCACCCATTGGCTATTGTGAATAATGCTGCTGTGAATGTGGGCATACACATACCTGTTCAAGTCCCTGCTTTCATTCTTTCTGAACATAAACCAGGCCTAGAATTTCTGAATCATGTGGTAATTCTGCAGATTTTTTTTTTATTTTTTGAGAAACTGCCATACTGTTTTCCTCAGTAACTGCACCACTTTACATGTCCACCAGCATAATACAAAGATTCCAATTTCTCTACCTTTTTGTCAACACTTACTTTCTTCTGGTTTATAATAATAGCCATCCTAATATGTGTGAAGTGGTGTCTCATTGTGGTTTTGATTTGCATTTCTCTAATGAGTGATATTCTCATTTTCTCATGCACTTAGGGACCATTCATATATCTTCTTTGGAAAAATGTCTACTCATATCCTTTGCCCATTTTATAATTGGCTTATTTGTTGTTACTGAGTTGTAGGAGTTCTTTATATATTCACTTTGCATTTCCATAGATATTTTAGAGTAAGCTTGTTCCTACCAAAGGGGAAAAAAAGCCTGCTGGGATTTTGATCTAGATGGCATTGAATCTCTATTTAGGAAAAATTGATGTCTTAGCAATATTAAATCTTACAATCCATTAGACTAATTTATCTCTTCATTTATTTGAGTCTTCCTTAATTTCACTCTGTGATGTTCTATAGTATTCAGTATAGAATCTTGCACATTTAAAAATATTTGTTCTTAAATACTTTGTTTTGGGTGCTATTATAAACATTACTGTTTGAAATTTTTTATTTTTTGCTAGTATGTAGAAATACCATTTTATATTGACCTTGTACACTGCAGCCTTGGACTGGATTCAGTTGGTAGTTATAATAGTTTTATAGATTTCCCCCAGGCTTTTCTACATAAACAATCAAATTGTCTTAGAGTGGTTTTACCTCTTTCTTTCCAATATTTCTGTCTTTTTTTTTTAAGATTTTATTTATTTATTTGAGAGAGTGTGCATGCACACACGCACGAGAGAGAGAGAGCACACGAGCAGTGAGAGGGGCCGAGGGGGAAGCAGACTCCCCAGTGAGCAGGGAACCCGATTCGGGGGCTCAGTCCGAGGACCTGGAGATCATGACCTGAGTCGAAGGTAGATGCTTAACTGACTGAGCCACCCAGGCGCCCTATTTGTGTCTTTTTTTAAAATGATCTTTAGGTAGGTAAAGATTTCTTAGATGGTATATAAAAAGCATTAGTCATAAGAGAAACAATAATAAATTGAACTTAATAAATATTTTTAACTTCTGCTTTTGAAAAACACCATTAAGAAGATGAAAACAAAACAAAAGCAAACAAAAAAGTGAGAAAACAAACTACATAATGAGTGGAAATATACACATACACACACACATATATATATGTATATGACAAAAGATTTTTATCTGAACTACATAAAGAACTCCTACAACTCAACAGGTAGACTAAAGACTTGAAGACACTTCATTTAAAAGGTGTCCAGGGGCGCCTGGGTGGGTCAGTCGGTTGGGCGTCTGGCTTCGGCTCAGGTCATGATCCCAGGGTCCTCGGATCAAGCCCCACATCTGGCTCCCTGCTCAGTGGGGAGCCTGCTTCTCCCTCTCCCTCTGCCCCTCCTGCTTGTGCTTGCTCTCTCCTTCCCTGTCTCTCTCTCGCTCTCTATCAAATAAATAAATAAAGTCTTAAAAAAAAAAAAAAGGCATCCAGATACTTGTAAAGATGTGAAAGAGTCCCACCATCGTTGGTCACTCAGATGCTAGTGAGTGGGCCACTCTTACACCGTCTGTACTTCCAGGATAAAGTCATCATTGGACTGGCCTTTGACTGTGTGGACAAGATGGTTTACTGGACCGACATCAGTGAGCCTTCCATTGGGAGAGCCAGTCTGCATGGCGGAGAGCCAACCACCATCATTCGACAAGGTGGGCAAGCAAATACCACTCTCCCTTCTTGGTTTGGCTTCTTGGGGGAGAGTAGAGGGGTGGAGTGCGTGGTTGCATACAGGATATAGTGATTTGAGTGAGACTCGGTTCTTGGCCTCAACACCACCCTTTCCAGCCTTCTCTGAAAAGTCCTCCAAGGACTCATCATTAAGTCATGAACACCTTAGCTTGGATTTGCTGCTGGCCTAAGAAGAATAAAATTAAAACAGCTAAGTGCCCATGCCTTTCTCTAAAAGCTTATCTAGCAAGTTTTAATGAACAATAAGGGCCGAACTCAATGGTCCACTTTGGATATCCGTTTCTCCTCTGGCTGTGGAGCCTAGAATTGATTCTCAGAATGTCTGACCTCTGGTATACTCCATTAGGCAGATGCATCATAAAGTTGGGAGGATTATAAGCATATTGGCAAATATTATCCCTGATAGGTGACTATTCCCAAGACAATTTTCAAGTCAAAAGTTGCCACTTCAACCTGTGACATCATGGTGGTGGTGGGGGGGTCCTTTTCTACCTTACCCCCCATGGTACTTGCTCAGATTGCCTGTGACAGAGGAGTACAGCAAAGCGGGCTGAACTTTCATAGATATTCCTCAATTTTTAATTGGCATTACTGATAATGAAGTGCGTAACACCTCGGCATAGCCTACCTCTCAACATTTAACCTTGATACCTTAATTTATAGAGGTCGATTTAAGCCAAGGACTCTGTGCATTATTATGATGTCTGCATTCAAGTCATGACTATTTTATGTGGCTGTATTTTATCAAGATTAAAGACCCAAGGACCTGTATAAATTCCCCTTTACTGAAAAGGTCAAATATTACATAATGCTAAGTCAATAACTCATCAGCTGACTTGCAGATATTTTCGATCAAAAGACATTGTCGTGCCAATGATAGGTCTTGTATAAAATCATCTTGCTTCCTCTGTAAAACACTCAAGTCAAAGATATACCTTCAAAATGTATGAGCCTCATTTGGTATTTCTTTTGACTTGGGGCTGAATGTCGCTTTTCCAATTTCCAGTTTAATGTTTCCGTGACAGTTGATATTCCCAGAGAATCCCTGTGCCTGTGGAACAGCCTGTGGGAAGTTTTTTTTTTTTCTCCCCCTTCCTTGGCTCCTTCACAAAAGATGATGCAGCAGGAGCAGGAATCAAGCTGAGGTTGACTTAAATATGTCTAGCTTCGGACATAGTCCCCGCATCCTTTTCTAGAAGCCAAGGTGCTCCTTAAATAATGTCTGCCAGTTTTCATGGTTTGGCTTAATGAACAGAATTTTGAAAATGCCTTTTTGTGTCTTCTCTCTCTCTCTGTTAAAACTGTTGTTGCTGTGATCTCTGGTTTGACTTGCAAACCCCGTGGAAGAGGGGAGTAGGTCATCACTGTTATTTCCTGTTGCTTCTGGAACTGATAATCATCCAAGAAAGCTTTAAGCTCAGTAAGGAACATTCCAGGCCAAAGTCCACTGTGAAAACACAGAATGAAACTAGACTGTGATCTTTGTAGAGGGAAGATCACCAGGGATAAATTCTCTTTTATTTAAAAAGAGAGAAAGAAACTTCCACTTCATCCTTTGTCATGGTACAGGTTGGTGCCTCCCTAGTGAGTGAAGGTGGAATGGGGTCCAAATGCTAAGCGTCTCTCTGTTTCCTTGAGTTAAACTCCTACCCAAATATCTTTAATAAGTACCCTAATCCGTTTCCTCTTGACATAAGCAGTATGGAAAATACCGCCTTGCTGTCTTCCCTTCTTAAGAAGCCCTGACTGCACAGTAAAGGGTGAGGTTTTCCAGACATTTCTTTGGTGTGATAGTTCAAAAAGAAGTATTTTCCTGGTTGGAGGAGGAGGCTTGGTTGCTCTTGGGTTCAAAATCAGGACCGGAGCTGTTTCTAAGGAGACGGAACGACACAGAGTTTCTGGGTGCCCCTGGGTGTCTTGTGAAATAGTGCTATTGAACAGCCTTCTCCCGACTTTCCTGTCTGTGTGTCTGAGTCGTGTCTTTGGCAGAGGATGCGCTCATCCCAGATAGACCCCGGAATGATTTATTCTGGTTTTGTCTGAGGTCTTCCGAGGTCAGCCTTGCTGCCCCTTCTCCCCTAGGGACGTGGGAAATATTTTAATACCTCCCAAATCTCTACTTCTGGTTTGAATAATAAAAACCTTGTTCAAGGGCTGTTTCTCATTCTTAATAAACTTCCTCTGGCAGGGGTCCTTTCTGGGGGGCGGGGCTTTGGTGTTTCCAGCATCCACAGTCAAGGTCATATTAGGAGTCAAGTGAAGGCTGATCTGAGAGAGCTGAGGGTCTGAACCGCTTACACATTGACGAAAAACACAGTGTGGGAATGATTTCCTCAAACCTGGGATCCCTCGGGTAGAGTAGCTTCTTTCTTGGCCTCTTCTGCTTCCTGGCTTCCAGCCATACTAAGTGACCTTTAGCTGTCGAATCAGTAAGATTAGGAAAGAATCCTAAGTGACCAGTAAAACCCTGGTGGGGATCTAATGTTTAGTTTGTTTTTATTTGTAGTCAGGGCATTATTGCAGTCTTGAACTTGTGGTTAGGTTAGGTGGGCACTGAAGGCTCACAGGGCAGTGGGCTTACCCTGTGGCAAGGCCTGGCTTGAGAATCAGTCACTTATAACTTAGTAAGGACTCTGGGAGTGTTAACTTCTGATCACTGACGCCCCTTCTTTGCACTTCTCATATTTGTATAAAAAAAATAACAGCTATGATTTCTTGCTATTACTTCTCTGAGATGACCCTTTCCCCCCAATAACTAGTGAATAAGGCAAATCTATTTTGTTCCATTCCCATCTTAAGATCTTCCTATGCCTCCCCTTTGCTCATGGGATAAGCTCTAAGCTCCTTAACACGGGCATCCTAACTTCATCTCTGGCGGCTCTCCCATCCTCACAGACTCCAGCCGTCCAAAATTTATATATAGTTCACTTCAAGCCATGTCCAATCTTCCTTTATACTTATGTGCTGCTCCCACCACCTGGCATCCCTCATCTAGGATCTTTGCCTGACAAACTCCTGCTAGTCCTTCGGGAGCCAGCTTCATGAGGTGTCACCTCCCCTAGAAATCCTTCCTGGGTCTCCCCAGGCTAAGTCTGGTGTCCGCCTCCATATTCCCATAAAACCAGAACTCAGTCTGAATTGTGATCGCTTGCAAGCTCCTGGAAGCCAGGGCCACAGCTGAGGTGTGATGTTGGGCTTGGTTCCCAGTATGGTACCCAGGGTAGGTGTCTGCCAAGTGAATGAGTGGCATTCTTTAATGCGTCACTTTGAGTGTTGGTTAACTTATAAGCAGCAAGCATTCCACATTCCCATTCGTTTTCCCAAAGTGCAAGGGTGGAACACCATGTGAAATAACACTGAGTAATCAGAAAAACCTAATCTCACCTGCTTAAAAAACCCAGCAGTGTCCTGTGTTTGGTTCTAGATCTTGGAAGTCCAGAAGGCATTGCCCTTGACCACCTTGGCCGCAACATTTTCTGGACTGATTCTCACTTGGATCGAATAGAAGTTGCAAAGCTGGATGGCACCCAGCGCCGGGTGCTGTTTGAGACTGATTTGGTGAATCCCAGAGGCATCGTAACGGACTCTGTGCGAGGGTAACTGTGTGTAAATCTGGGTGTGGGTCTATTCGGTTTGCGGCTGCTTTTTTATATATTCTCAAGCGGTAGGCTCTAGCTCTGGCATTGCCCTCCTGAAAGGAATGCGTCACAGGATGAACAGGTCTCAGTGGGTGGTTTAGAGATATGCACTGTGAAATGCCAGAACATTTATCCCAGTTCCCCGTGACCATGGACTTGATCCCATGTTCCACTTGTAAAACTTTAAGGAAGGGACCCGGTAAGTGGACAGCTCAGAAATTGGTTATTTCCATTTGAGTTGAATGTGGATCAACACCTGTGTTGTGTCAGCCCCAGAAGGGTATCAGAGGAGCATAAATGTACCCCTGGGGCTCAGGCCAACACACCATGGACCCCTGGAAGACCCCTCCCTGGGTTTTGTCATCCCATCAACGTTTTCTCTCTCTTTCCCTACGACAAGCTCCGAATCTTGCACACCACGCCTTCAGCGCCTTCACACTTTGATCCCTCCCCTGTGAGGCCACATCCCTAGTTCTGTGGCCCCGTGGCCACCTCCCTGATGGCAGATGCTGTGCCCCCCTGTGTAGGGACAGCGGACAGGAATTCCCACATGTCTGTCTCATTGCGGTGTTCTGTTTTGTGCTGTCTTTTTGACCCGCTTTAGCAAGATAGAACATGTCAGTTATGTTTAAGGGAAGCGAACTCGCTAGTAAAGAGTAACCAAATTCAAACAAAGAACCCCCAAATCCAAGTCTCTTTGCAAAAGAGAACATGTCGCCTCCAGACCTGTTCTAGCCACCCCCTGTTTGAACGCCTGCTAATGTCTTCATCATGGGGTTTTTTTTTTAAGTTGTCTTTGTAAACTTCTTCTCATCCTTTTTGTTATTCGTCTCCGTCTTTCCCTTCCCTTTCCTCCTCCAGGAACCTTTATTGGACCGACTGGAACAGAGATAGCCCCAAAATTGAAACCTCCTACATGGACGGCACGAACCGGAGGATTCTCGTGCAGGATGACCTGGGCTTGCCCAACGGGCTGACATTTGATGCCTACTCATCTCAGCTCTGCTGGGTGGACGCAGGTGACAGAAAGCCCCAGGCGTGACTCCTGGCTTTGGAGCAGTGCTTTTTTTCTTCTTCCTTAAACTAAACATTTATTCTTACCCACTGTGGGCTAGTATCTGTTCCAGGGAAGTTGGTGTGAGATAGCTCTTTCACTTCCCTGCGCAAAAATAGCTGCCCATCTTTGCGATGTATTGTTTCTCGAGGCTTGACGCTCGCTGTCCAAGGGCAAGTTCTCAGTCTTCGGAGTCAAGGGTCAGCAGCCTCTAGCCCATGGGCCAGATCCAACCAGCCACCCACTTTAGTACCACATGGGTCTTATAAATGGTTTTTACATTTTTAAATGTTAACATCGTAAGAGGTTACATAAATGCCTCCAGGATGTCCTCAATTGTGCCTCTTGGCCCACAAAACCGAAATTAATTACCATCTGGCCCTTGGAGGAAAAGCATGCTGACCCCTAGAGCCTGCCCTCACCCTAATATCGTCTATCTATTGTGCAATTCATGCCTTACATTCCTCGAGCTCGCATCTGTCCCCAAGGACTCTGGCGGGACTTGGAGCCAGGGAAGAGAAAGGCGTGCAGTCCTGCTGTGAGCCCCTGCCCTGGGGTGTCCCTTAGGCAGGGATGTGGGCGGGATGCTCCTCCGGGAGCAGGGTCAGTCAGCTGTCCTGTGTCTGTGGAGCACCGTTCCTGCCCTGTTCCCAACACTGTTAGCTGCCACGGTGCTGGGCGGGGGGCGGGTGCAGGGGCTGCATCTTGCATCCAGGGTAAGGGCTCCGAGTGAGGGGAGGGAGGGCCTGGGAGGCTTCAGGGGGTAGGGACTTGAGCGAGACCTGAAGATGTCATCATTCCTACTAAGTCCCCAGCCGCCTGGGGAATGAGTGGAGCAAGGAACGGCCCCTCAGCTCCAGCCCACGTCGGAACCAGCTCTGGGTCCCCCCGGCGGAGGTGGGGGTCGGCCAGCGACAGGGGCAAGGCAGGGCAGAGAGAGAGAGCTTTCTGCGGTTGAAGAGCAGGTCACGTGTGTTCTCCAGGACCTGTCATGGTCGCGCGGACTTCTCTCATCCTTGCCCTCGTCACTTGTCTTGACACAAAGGGGCCATTTCTTGTGCGCACAATGAACGCCTTGTTTTTGCTCCGCACAGGCACCAATCGGGTGGAGTGTCTGAAGCCTGGGCAGTCCGGCCGACGCAGGCTTCTCGAAGGGCTCCAGTACCCTTTTGCTGTCACCAGCTATGGGAAGCATCTGTATTACACGGACTGGAAGACGTACGTCAGCGGGGGGCTGGGGAGCCTGCCCTGCCACCCTGTCTCTGGGAGGCCAAGCCCCCCCCCATGTGGCCCCCCTGCCTCATTCTTCTGGTTGTCAGGAAAGGAGGGGGAAGAAGAGTGAGGGCCGAGGGCGCCTGGTAGGGGGGTGGGGGCAGGAGGTGCTATTTATCATCTGGATGCTCCTGGATGGGCACCTACTTGGACTTCTGGAGCGTGTCTGTTCTCTCCCCACGAGCTGGCCCGAGGTCCCTCGGTGGGTGGGCTCCATGCCCACGCTGTGCCCCTACTTCATTTCGCTTCTTAAACTGCAATATTCCCACAGCCCCTTCTTGACCACCCCTCCTGCACGAAGGAGGGGGTCACACCGAGCAAGCAGCTGTGGTCGGGGGCATCTGGAGAGAAAGCTGCTTTCCCAGCTTGGAATTTAGAGCTGAGGGGAGAGCTTAGCTCATCTTTGTCCTTTTTTAAGAAGCCAGAGAAACGCAGGCTTGTCCCTTCACAGGAGAAGGGAGGGATGGCTAGGAAGTCAGGCCACTGTGTCTCTGCATGGCCTCCGGTTTGTCCCCAAAACCACAGAAGAAGCTGCCCTGTAGACAGAAGGTTCGAGCCATCAGATGTGTCTTTACCTTCTGCCCTTTGGTGTTCCGTAGGAATTCCGTGGTCGCTGTAGATCTTGCTGTTTCCAAAGAGACGGATACCTTCCACCCCCACAAGCAGACCCGGCTATATGGCATCACCACAGCCCTGTCTCAGTGTCCCCAAGGTAACTCACCTGTGTTCTTACTGTTCAGGGTGCCCTGAGGCTGCAAGCCCACACCCTGGCCTCTCGCAGCCCTCATCACGTGGCAGGTGAGACCCGGTCCCTTCCATCATGCGTCTTCATTATTTAGTGGGTGAGCCGTGTAGAAAACATTAGGGGATGAGGTGGAGATGGTGGACCAGTGTGAGGGAAAGCGCTGAAACTTGGGCTGGGTCTAGAAGTGAGTGGTCTTCAGGTTCCAAATAGGAACATCCGTGTTATGATCTCTGCTGCTTTCAGAGTCCATCGACTTGGCCTCACAGCCGCAATAATAATTGTTGCTCCTAATAATCACGGACATGGATGGGGTCCTTACTGCGAGCTGGGTACTGCACATACATCGACCCGGCGCTCTCAGTGCTGTGTGCTCATTGGTTCGCTCATCCTCATAGCAAGCCCACGAGGCTGGTACGATGCCTGTGCCCATTTTATAAGTAAGGAAAACTGAAGCCACTGGCCCAGAGTCACACAGCTCAGAGGCTGGGGGTGAGCTAGGCAGCCCGGCTCCAGAATCTGCTCTCCCCGAACTCGCCCTCCTTGGCTTCCCCCCACCACCCTGGTCCAGTGTGAAGCCGAGTGGACAAGCTAGACAGAGAGTGCTTTGTGCTTGAAAATCCCAGCTCCGTGTTAGAGTGAGAGCTGGAAAATCCTTCCTAAGTCCTGTTCAGTAGCTTTGATGGTAAATCTGCACAGTCCCCAACTTAGGAATTGGGAAACGATGTTTTTGCCCATCTGGCAGATCCTTAGTGAGGAGGATTCCCTATTCCTGGAGCACTCACGTGCTTGGCCCCCTGGAAACCAAAAAGGGGGCCAATACAGAGGCTCCTCTCTTAGGGGGCAATTGAGCCAATTTCTGCCTTTTCCAGGTCACAACTATTGCTCAGTGAACAATGGTGGTTGTACCCACCTCTGCTTGGCCACCCCTGGAAGCAGGACCTGCCGTTGCCCTGACAACACTCTGGGAGTTGACTGTATCGAGCAGAAATAAAGACAAGAGTGCCTCATTTCCTCTGCAAGTATTCAGCAGCACCCTACTTGAAAGGGTCCAGACTGAAAACTATCTGACCTGGTGGCCACCATGCCCAGGTCCTATCCAGCCTGAGCCCCAACAGTGTTCCCCTCACTGTCCCCCAAAACATATGCCCTGGGCTTCCGGAATGGGAAAGTCTCTTCCCCTACACACAGACAGAAAACCCTCCTGAGGGAGGATTATATGCCCATCCCAGTGCTCTGGAACCTTTCCCCAACTTAGCAGCCCAGTGGTGAACAGAGCCTCCCCAGGCCTGAGCTGCCCCCTCCCCTGTGGCCTTATGAGCTCAGCCTCACTCTGACACACCTGCCATTCGGTTATCTCCCTGACACACCAGCCAGGGCCACCTAGGCGAGGCTGTGAATGAAGGAGGGTGTTAATCCTCCCCCGCTTTTCTCTTGGTGCTCGGATTTCCCTCCTCCTAGCTTTTTCCCCCTGAGTCTGTACCACCTGCATCCTGTCCAAGGTCCCCATCACAGTGAGTAGTAAGCCTTGGCCTTCGTGCAAAACCCACCCTGTCTTAGGGCTCTGTGGATACCTGTGGGCCATAAGGAGCAGCCCCTCCCAGATAAGTTACTGGCATTTCAGCAGGTAGGCAAAGCCTTCAGTCAAAAGAGTGTCCAGTGGCAGGAATTTCAAGGTGTAGCGTCAGGTGTTTGAGGATGAGGATTTTTCAGAAGTGCTTACTTAAATTTACACTAGTGGTTACCAAATGATTCCTGTTTGTGCAAAGCACCTGGTTCCCAGCATCTGGTCTCTTGAGTGGCCTGGCCCCATGGCTGGCATTGATGCCCCGCCTCCCTCACTTCGGGCATAGCTGGGGGCTGGTACCAGTGATGATGACCCCCCTCTGGGCCCTTCCCTCCCTCCCCCACTGGTGAGAGCTGGTCTGCAGTCACCATGAGCTCGCTTCTCCTTTGTTTCTCCCTCTGCTCATGGCCCTTGCTGGCTGTCTTCTCATCAAAGAGGGCCAGGTTGAATATTTATACTACTGACCCAGACCCTTGATTGCTCATTGGTGTAATTAAAGCAACGATTGCCACCTGCCATGTTTATGTGTTTAGAAACACCTCCGGGCCAGACGAGTAGCTAGTGTTACCTTTTATCGGCTGCTTCCCAAAGTTGCAAAACAATAGGAATTTTGGATTGAAAGCTGAGCATATCAGGAGTTGGAGTCAGGAAGGATTAGGGTAAGGGAGTAGAGAAAGCTCGGTGGAAAGTACCACAAAGAGACTGATCAAGAGGAAAGGGTAGAGAAGGGCATTTGACAACAGCAATGAGAAAAACTCTTCAATAATCCCAAAGAGAAAATGGCACCTTTTGCCAAAGAACACTTATGCTTGAAGACATGGAAGAATTTGCTTGTTTTTCTCCTTGGGGCAGAGATCCTTCCCCTTATCTGCAAACCTCAGTGAGTTCATTCCTCCCTGTCCTACCCGTACCCCCTCCCCACATTGTCCTCATCTGCTTCAGCACCCCAGTGGCACCTGGATCGGGAAAGAGCCTTTCCCTGAATAATTGGAGTTTGTTTTGAGAGCCAGATATATCCCCCAAAATCACACGATTTGGGGAACACATGGGTCTTTTATCCAGCCCAGCCCCCTGAATTAGTTTTGCTTATTTTTTATATTTATCATGCCATATCAAGCCCTCTATATCAAATGTTTGTCATGATTTTGTATAGTTTTTTATAACTATTTTATTCGTTTTACTAGATTCATTCTAAAAGTTTTCAAATGGTCAATTCTTAAACTGTGGAATCCACTGAAGGTGCTTATTAACTGTTCGCCCAGATTTATACAAGTATTGGATGATTCCTTGAGTTTACAGCTGTACAAATACCAGTGCAGAAAATTAAACAATTTTTTTGTTAAAAAAAAAATCTTTATCTTGTTTGAATGAAGACATTTACTGTTGGGGGCCGATTCACGATGAGACAATAGTCATTTAATAATTTGAATATAAAGTTACCAAATCCAGTAATTCCACTTCTAAGTATACACCCAAAGGAATTGAAAACAGGGGCTCAAACAGATCCTTGTCCACCAGTGTTCACAGAAGCATTTTCTCAATAACCAAAGGTAGAAACAGCCCAAGTTCCATCAACAGATGAAAGGATAAATAAGTGTTGTACTCCTACGATGGAATGTTCAGCCATAAACAGGAGAGAAGTTCCAGCACGTTACAACATGGATGAAATTTGAAGTCATTATGCTGAGTGAAAGAAGCCAGACACAAAGGAACAAATATTATATGATTCCACATATGTGAGGTCCCTCGATTAGGCAAATTCACAGAGACCAAAGGTAGATCAGATGTCACCAGGGCTGGGGGCAGGGCGAACAGAGAGTTATCACTTAATGGTTTCAGAGTTTTTATTTAGGGTCATGGAAGAGTTTGGGATGTAGTGATGGTTGCACAACATTGTGAAAGTACTCAATGCCACTGAATTACATGCTCAAAAATGGTTAAAACGGCAAATTTTATGTTACATATATATATTCTACCACAACTCAAAGATTAAGAATGTGATCTACAAGAACTGTTAAATGTGCACTTTAAAGAAGTGAATTGTAGGGCATGTGAGTTATAGCTCAATATAGTTTTTTTTTAAATCACTGATTAAAAAAAGAAAAGCTTGTGATAGAAGATTGGTAAGTTGCTGATCACTGTAGTAGTTGGCTATATTCTAAAGATTCCAAGATTCTAGTCTAGGTAGTCCTGTGAAAGGACTTTGCAGATAGAATTAAAGTTATTAGCTACCTTAAAACAGGGAGATTCTTTATCCTGGACAAAGCACGAGGGCCCGGGCAGCCAGAAGAGGGAGGCAGAAGAATCAACTAAGGCCAAAACAGAAAGCGGGCAAGATAAGGCTGAAGGGTAGGAAGGACTCAACTGGCCATCGGTGTCTTCAAAATGGAGGAAGGCCGTTATGAGCCAAGAAGCAAGGGTACCTCTACAAGCTCAGAACAACTCCTGGCCAACAATCAGCAAACTGGGACCTCAGTTCTACAACCACAGGGAACCTGCACGGGCCTGGGAGCGGGTTCTTCCCCAGAGCCTTCAGGAAGGGGCACGGCCCTGCAGACCCCTTGATCGCAGCCCTGTGAGACCCTCAGCAGAGGACCCACATGAGCCACGCTGTGCTGGGCTTCTGACTTCCTCAACTGGGAGATTTTCCATGGTGGGGTAGAAACAGCAGTAGAAACCTAATACACTTGTGGCAGCTAGGTGTTGGTATATGGGATTATGCCAGATACTTTCCGTTTGTCCATCTACTCTCCCCATCCTGATCTGAACCCCAAGAGACCAAACCACTTGGACAACTTCTATGGCTCCCTTGCCCCCTGGCTTCCTAGCAGGCAAAGGAGGGAAAGAAGAGAGTGATAACAGGTCTTTACCCCCCACTCGCACCTGCCAGTGTCCCCAGAACCATTTCCTCCCCTGGTCTCTCTGGGCATCAGGGAGGTAACAACCCCCTGCCCTATCTGCTCAGACTGGTTCCCAACACCCCAGCCCTAACTTTAACCCTCACTCAAATTATCCTCATGGGAGCACATCTATCTTTTGTTGAGACCCTAACTGATACAGGAGTTTGTAACTCTGGTGATCCCTACTTTGGAGTATGTCTGTAGTTTTGTCCCCTCGCCAAAAAAAGGTAAAAAGCTATCTCATAATCATCTCACACATACTTGTATCCAATTAGGATACGTGTTGCAGCATAACTAGTAAGTATGAATTGCACGTGTGCACAAAACGTACCAAAGAAGTCTTATTTATTCCATAACTCATTTTGATTTTCAGACTCGGAGCCCTGCATTGGCAGACAACTCACCCTAGGGAAATCCTAGTTCAATGCAGTGATCTCTCAGTCACTCTGGGTTCAAACTCAGTCATATTCACGAGTCTTGTTGAACCCCTCCTTCCTCACCCAGGCCCCAATCTCAACTCTCTGCAGCTTGCGGACCAGCCCCCCAGTCTCAGGCTGGCCTCCCACCCCCACTGCTGGTACCTGGGCTTGGCCACCCAGTTTCTCAGGGTCTTCCTCTGTGCGTCTTGGGGTGGTTGGTCCTCTGGTCCTCACGGGTCACTGTGCAGCCTCCTCACCCCGGCCCCCTGGCCTACGGGGACTGCAGCGTTTCCCTCAGTCCTCCCTCACCGCTTGTGCGGATGGGGTGACGTGCAGCTGTCCCTCCATGCCCCGAGGGAGAGGGCAGTCAGTGGACCAGGGCCTTCTTCCTTTTACCCCACTCCTCCCCCTGTGCTCTGAGCCCTCCTGGGGGCTCCTCTGCACATCTTTTCCAGCTCATACCCTTGTTTACCAGCCCCAAGAACATCCCTCCTAAGAGCATATGGAGCCTCAGTGGCCGGCCTCTCAGGCAGGTGTCCGTGAGTGGGGTGGAGAGAGAAAGGACACCCCAGGGGGTGATGCCTCAGATGATCAATTGACTTCACACACACACACACACAATTTAAGAATCCAAAAAAGAAATAATAATGATCACAGGGATGAAAAGTACAGCATAGGAAATGTAATCAATAATATTGTGATAATTTTGTTGACACATGGTGACAGATGGCAGCTATACTTACTGTGGTGAGCATTTCATGATGTATATGATCGTCAAATCATTATGTTGTACACCTAAAAAAAATAAATAATAAGGGCATAGCTGATCTAAAAAGGCTTCTCAGAGGGAAAGGATGCTAGGTGTTAAAAGGCAGGCCGTGTCAGTAGTCCTAGAGCAAAGTGAATCTCTTTACCTATGACCTGGGCTGTTTTACTTCAATACTCACAGCAACTGAATTTTCTTATCTGAGGAATTAAGGGTTTGGGGGTCTTTCTAGTAATCCACTCACAGATTTAAAGAAACAAACACCAGGGCGCCTGCCGGGCTATGCTCTATGCCCCAAAGATGTCGCTGCTGGGCTACGGCTCCGGAGTCCTGCACTGGCCACCCCCCTCTTCTCAGGCTAGGAGGAGGGGTCCCGCCAGAGTTAAAGAACAGGCTCTACGGTTTGCTTCTTGACTTGAAGCGAGCTGGGAATAGGTGAGCCTTGAGTGACGCTCAGTCGGTTGGGCGTCTGCCTTCCAATCGGGTCCTGATCCCAGGGTCTTTGGGCTTCCTGCTCAGTGGGGAGTCTGCTTCTCCCTCTTCCTTTGCCCCTCCCCCCTACTTGTGCACTCTCTCATACTCTCTGAAATAAATACATAAAATATTTTTTAAAAAACCACCATGGGGTGCCTGGGTGGCTCAGTTGGTTGAGCGTCTGACTCTTGGTTTCAGGGTGGTGAGATGGAGCCTGCACCCCCCCACCCCCGTGGGACGCCTTGCTCAGCGTGGAGCCTGCTTGAGATTCTCTCCCTCACCCTCCACCCCTCCACCTCCCCCGCTCATGCGCACTCTCTCTCTTTCTCTAAAATAAATCTAAAAATCTGAAATAAATAAATCCTCCCTGAGCCCCTCACTTACTTTCACAGCAGACCCTCCTGAAGCAAGCGAGGGAGCCCAAAACAATA